ACGGCGACGGCGACGGCGACGACTACCATTACGATTACCACTACGATTACGATTAGGATTACGATTACGATCGCCAATGCTACTACTATTGCCTGTACTTCTCAATGGCAAGGTGCGACAACTGGCTGGCCATGCTGCCGTCGTGATCGACACTCGGCTGACGAGAGCGGTTCGAGACCTCGGCAATCAACCATGTGAATACATGCGGACAGATGCAACACAATGCTGAACTTCTGGGACAACATTAAGCCCGAAAAGCATGTCACATTGCTCTGCCTCGCCCAAGACCTTTTTGCAAGTACGCTGCGAGAATCTCTGGCAAAAACATAAGTTTCAGATGGTCAGGGACTGCCAATCAATCACTGGAAGGGAAACACGGAAACGCATGCCGAGATTCCATGTGCGCAACCTCCTGCATAGCCCCACCCTGATAGGAGATCGCCATTTCCTGAGTTGGATGGGTGGAGATGTATGGGTGACGCTGCGGATGTATTTTGAAATTCGATGTAGACAGCCAGTTTGCTTCCTGCACGCTCCAATGCATATGCTTGAAGTGAACGTCCTAGAAGCACTCGATGCGTACCCGTACAGTGTGCAGAGGGTACAGCCAAGGTCTCAATTCGCTGTGTGGCGTCTTCAAGCCTGGACCGAAAAGAGGGAAAAGTTGGCAGCTTCGCCACGAGGCACTCCTTTCTTAGATCCAGTTTTGATCAACCATCAAGTATCCGAATTACGGCAATGCGGTTGTCTGGTAAGTGTTATCACAAGGTTCAGAAAGCCCTAAACCCTCAAATCCAGGAAGTTTGCTTTTTTTTGGGGGGGGGGGGGGGGGGGGGTGGTGGGGGGCTTGGCCTTGCCATGGCCCGTTTGAGTTCGCTGAGCCCGGTGAGCTGCTCGGAGATGTCCATCCTGAAGTTCTAAAAGCCGTCTCGGAAACCGCAAGAAAGCATCGACCAGCCGGCAAAAAATGAGTCACCCCCTGGGAGGGCGGGGAGGAAGGGACTACCGGACTGCCCGAAATTCTACGCCGCTTGGGATGGGGTCGCACTTTGTGCAGGCACCAAGCTCAAGCTTCTCCGACGAACACCAACAGAATGGGAAACGTGGTAGCCACTGCAGTGGCTTCGCCGCCACACGTTCCCTGCCCGCCAGGGCTTGAAATGGGTTGAAGCTTGAACCCTTCAATGCACACTCCGAGAATCATCATGGACACCACGGGCTCGATGATTGCCTGAGTCTCCGAGAATCATCCAAGGAGTTCTGTATTCATGGTGTACTAGGTTCACACTAAACTGAATGACGAGCAGCTCCCCACCCTCCCTCTGTCACATCATAACACTAGCGATTGTGGGCTCAAGCCCGCAAGAAGGAATGCTGTAAGGTCTGTAAAAGCTACGGTACATCTGCCAACTGCGAACATGCGCAGGTCATGGCATGTCATGGCCACGACACTTACGACACTGTGCCCAGATGTGCTTAGGAGCCGGGATAGTGTTCGCAGTGGGACTTCCAGGCACAGTCAGGCGATGTGCTGGCGACTCAAGGCTGGGCGATTTCACCTTGTCCTGATGCACAGCCAACAAATGGGCCAACAAATGAGAGAACCTGACCTCAATCGACTCCAGACATCAGCAACTCCAACCCCCGGCCCATCCAAAGCCCTCGCCTTCATGGTTTGGCGAGCCAACCGCTGCTTAGAATGTGACCCTTGAAGAAACTAGGTACATTGAAGTACAGTATAATGCAGTCCAAGTCATTCCAGGTCCATGTGTGCGCAATTGATTTTCTGATCACGGGCTCCTGTGAGGTTCGGCTCGCCCACGGGCTCAAAGGAGTGGAGTTGGAAGCTCCCTGCAATGCCAAACAAGCTCAGGGTCGAAACTCTCTTTAGCACTGGCTTGTGACCCCACATACCTATTGGAGTGCCTGGACGGATTCTGTACCAATCGACTGGGAAGCTGTTACCAAGGGACCTTGTGGATGAAAGCGAATGCTTGAAAATGACATCGAATGCATGACGATCCTTCGCCCTGCTCCAGCTCAGGTTGCACAGTTCCAGTCAGTGAGCCGTGCTGAGCCAAATAGCTCCTTGAGTTCACGTCCGGTTGCAAAGCCTTTCCTCTCCTTCGAGATTCCTTGAGTCTTCCGCATCTGACTTATGCGCTCCTCTAACCGCGATCTGATTGTGTGCTGGTGAGCAAACATGGGCCCCCCCCCTCCCCTTAACAGAATACACCCCATACCCTCATAGCAGCACTGCCCAGCAATTCAAGATGCTTTGGAAGATGGTCTGCGTTTGTCTGATTCAAACGGTACATGTGCAGTTCCCAGCATCAGGGTGCCCATTGGGGTACCGACGACAATGTGGGCCTTTGTATTTGCCCCTCCCCCGCCCCGCCCCCCCCCCCCCCACATGAACTTCTGTTCTTGTGCTTGTCACGGCCAGTTGCTCGTGCGACTCTCTGACCCAGATCCTTCCGAGACCGTTGCCACTGCATGTCAGGTCCAGGTTCGGATCTGGATAGCATGACGGAACCGTGCTGGTATGTCAGCTTCTACGGACTCTGCTGGTGCCGGTGGGAAGTTCATCTCAACTGCAGTTGGCTGGCACGCGTAGGCACGGCACGGATCGTGGCTACATCGCAGGTGTTGGACGATGCCAACACTATGAGCATTGACGGTGGTTACAACGAGGACGTTGCTTGTCTTGCGTTTGACCCTCTGTGGCCACTAAGCAGTTGGTAGATACGGTAGGGACAGTGGCAAGCTGCAGGAAGGATGTCTCCTCCTTCTTGAGTGAAATCAGGCGACGTCACGAACGGCGGACTCGTCTTATCCGGCCTCCACATCATCGACGAAGATTGCTGGAGGTGGTGGCTTTTTCGCAGTGCCGTGCAATGTAACATCTGCAATCGAGGGACCGAAGTTACAACTATATCCGAAATAGGGGCAAAGCTTCGTTTGGAGATGGCAAAGAAAAATGGCATGTCTTGGTCAGTCATGTGGTCAGGCTCAAAATTTGGAAGGGTTCTCTGAAATGCGTTTCACTGATAGAAACCCTACTTTCCAATCAGTCATAAACATTCATAGGTGCCTCTCCGTAGCCTTTCCGGTGTCAACGTCTCGATACCACCCCAGCAAACTAACATCCAATCCTTGTGAGCGTCTTAACCTGTGCCAGCCGCAGGGACATGCAGGAACTCAAGACGCAAGACGCAAGTGATCTGCAGGCCTGCTCGTTCCTCTCGGCAGAAGACTCGCAAAGCATGTAGCTCTCATGGTGCCCCACTTCGCCTCAAGGGCAACACAAGGTTGACAAGAGCGCGTGACGGGCTTCTCTTGCTTTGAGAGAGCTTTTGAGGGAAGTGCATGGGGTCTCTGGGGTCTCTGGGGTCTCAGGGTTGCTTGCCTTTCGCACTGTGCTGTGGTGACTCCCCCGACCTGTAGAACCTCCAGCGCCGGACATCACCAAGTCTACGTGGAACTGAGATGTGTTGGATGTGTTGGATGTGTTGTTCTCTCGAATGGGCCTCTGCAGATTGCTGCAGCGGTCTCCTGTCTTTGTGAGCTGTGGTACTTGGTCGTCTTCATCTTGATCCAAAGCGCTAGCTGCGAGAGCACTTGCAACGATACTCGCGGTGTCGATGGCCCAGAAGCGGGCCGGGCCCTTTTCCCTCCCAGCCCCTCATCCGGCTCCGAAGCACAACCCTCCTTGGGCCTCCTTGCAAAGACTCTTCCAAAAAACTTCTGGATGCACTTGCCGTGAAAACTCGGAGATGAAGCTATGGTGATGTCGCGCCCCAATCCCCTCAATACCCCCGAAATCCCGAACAGCTGGGGTCGACTCCAACTTCTCTTCGCCAACGGACTGTCAGCGATCGCTGAGTCTCTACATGCGTCGCAAGATCGGTTTGCGCCGAGGCCCCCCAAAGAAATACACCGATGCATTGCTCGGAGCCCCGAAAACAGCCCGAAAAAGAACTACGCCGATTTCGGCGGGGGTACGCACAAGGGAAAGCCGGTACCCGGTATGCTGCTCCCAGGCATGCGGAAGGGAAATACGCCGGTAGGCTCCGATCGGGGGCCCGGGAACTACACCGATGCCAATTCGCCCCAGCCCGGGTCAACCCTGGCAGATTGAGTCATTTGACCGGTTGAGCCCTGCACCGTTATGCTGACACGCCACAGGAGGGCCCGGACGGATGCACCGTAGGCTGTGTTGGATGATGCCCCACATAGCATACGACGCATCATGCAATGCAAGAGCAGCATCAACAGACATCAACGATCACCCTTTCTCAGCATCGTGACCAACACTCTCGCATCAGAGCATCAGCTTGATTTATCGTGGTGTTGGATACGTGCGCGGAACCTTCACGAATCTAGCGACTCGCGAGTCCCTCGTGCCTCAGCGCGGCTTCTCCATATGCCAGAGCAGCTGCGTATTAAGGAAGGGATGCTGCAAACAAAGCGCTACTCAAATGTGTCAAACCTCTGATCTGAGTACATCTGGCTGCAGGTCATCTTCAGTGGCAGGCTATCGGCAACGGCGTGACAGTGATGATACCGTGGGGGCTCAAGGAGGCTTCTTTGATGTCTAATGTAGCAGATTCCCCTGGGCCGAGATGGATTACAGGGTCGAGTCCTTGATAAGCACGATTTCTCAAGCTTTGACTGTTCATGCTGTGCACCAAGCTATGAAACTAGCCTCCAAGTGTAGCCTCCCAGCAACCCGTTTCTGGAAAAAAACAAGGTACAGCCCTCAAACAGTGCCAAGCGACCTACTGACACGATTTTGTAGACTCAACAACTAGCAAAGGCGCTGAAGCAAGGCAGCTACACTAAGTTGATTGGAAGAACGAGTTGCCGATCCTGCTTCCAGTCGCCGTTGCAATGAAGGGTGATGGAAGTGATGGCTCAACTCCCCCAAGCCCTAAACCCTAAACCCTACACCCTAAACCCTAAACCCTAAACCCTCGAAACCCAGGGGGGGCGAAGTCCTGGCGCAGCTTGGAAAGAGCCTTGGAGAGGATCTGGATGTTTGTTGACTTGCCGATGAAGGTGTGACCGACCACCTTCCAGGGAGGAACTCCTAAGACTGTGCCATAAAAGCCTTGAGAACGTTGGAGAATTGGTGGCAAGATCATTCTTCTGACTGTTGGGGTTGTGGCTAGTCGGGAGATTTGGAAGTTGTAGTCGTCGTGACGGTGGTGTCATTCTTATGGCTATGTCTAGTGCTATCATCACGAGAATTAGTGTCATCACTTTTTGCTGTATAGATTGGCTTTGAACGCCCAGGCTCACCATGACGCCGTGACGAACGAGCTGAGTCTCCAGCAACCTGAGACATGGCACCCCAATCGATTCCTACCAGCTGGGTCTTCTGCGGGGATTCGGAGAGCGGGTTCTAACCGTCGGGCTTTGAGAGTGCATCCCACAAAAAGGTTTAAGGATACTCAGCGGCGAGGCGGCGAGGACTTGGCCGCATGTATTCACCACCTTGCAGCGAAGCAACTGGATGATCTTTCCGACAAAGGAGGGCACCACCTCAAGGAGCAACGAAGTGCTCTGCACACCATATGAAACCCGACAAACGCCGCAAGAAGCAACCCCATTGTCCCGGCGCGTATCACGACAATACACGAGCACTTGATATGAGGTCATGGACATAATATCGCATGATAAAAGAGCAAATATAGCACAACATAGTATAATACAACATCAATACAACATTATATAACAGAATTGCAATACCACATGGCATGAGCACAACATGTGGACAAAATGTAAAAAGCGAATATACTACCAAACATAATCATAAGCATAATCCATCGATCGGCGCCCACCTGCAGCTTTGAGACCCGCAGCTGGTTCTCGATCTCCTTCTGCAGACTCCCATAGTCCACCTCGACTCAGGGACTTGGGCTTTAGGGGGCTTTTGGGGTGTTCGGGTTTTGGGATGGTTTTGGGGTTGAGCGTTTTAGGGTTCAGGGTTTGGAGCTCGGGGCCTCAAGGAGGCTTGGGGTTTAATCCCACGAAAGATCTTCAGAGGCGGAGGGAGGTTGCAATCAGTGGTGCACTGACCCACTGACGGTGCTCTTCATGGACTTCAATTTTATTCTGAACCATTTTGAACTCCGAGCCCCCAAATCAACCCCCAGAAAAATAATGGATCCGCCTGGTCCCTACAAGCACCTACACAGCTCATTTGCCCAAGCCGGCAGCATACGGCACGTCCACTTCCGGGTAGAGATCACCTGAGCTGATCCACGTGGAGTAAGGATGCTGCACACATCAGCAGAGGTGAGGTGCTGGTGCCTAGCTGCAGATGGGCATGGCAAAGTACTATACTTCGGTGCACATGATGGCGGCGGCACTTTCTCGTCACGCACACCCAGCTGCGACAGGTGCCTGTAGTTCACGGTCATTGCTACGAATGCATGACTGAGTCCCTGTCTGATGATGCCAAAGAAAAGCGGAAGGTCGAAGGACAAGAACTTCGGCACCTTAAGCCACGATGTTTGTGTTCGAACGGCAGTGCTCCTCCTGCCTGCGGTCCACCGGCATGTTTCGAAGGCACGAAAGTTCTTGCAAGGCATAATGTGCCTGCACCGGCCCTGATGGAGCTGCAAGTTGCACGATCTCCACCCTCACATCCAAACTCCAATTTGTTCAGAAAGCGTCTGCACCAAGGCGCATTTGAGTCCCGTAGGGCACGGATCAGCGTGACATCCTGCGGACTGCACGGTTGGGCGGTTGGGCTCCACGCCTATTTCGCGTGCGTCCACGAATAAATGTAGATCGCACGACAACACACGGCAGAGAACCCTGGCGTACTACCTACGCGGTCCTCCACCAATGAAGGATACTTGCCTTTGATGTGCTCTCTTTCGTGACTGCTTGCACCCATGTGTTCCCCGAGGCTCCCCTCTATTCCCGACATGTGCCCCCAAACTGCCATTTGACACGGAACCGCTTGGCAAAGAGAAAAAGCCTGCCCGCCGCCTCCACCCTTAGGACTTTGGGCTTGCAGTGCTACTTATGCTACTTATTTTATTTTCCATGAAACAAATATACTGCCATATCACATCATATAATGCCAACTAGACTAGAATCCTCTAGCGCCTGGCTGCTGCAAACTCGTCACACTCTCGAGACTCGCCGAGCTGCGTTTGAGCTGGCCCGCCATGACCAGGACCGACTTCACGGCGCGCATGCCGAAGTCGTAGTGGTCCTCGTGGGGTTCGGGAAGCGGTACACACGGTGCCCGACGGTGCCCTTCTCCCTGAGAGCCGGTCCTGTTTGGACAGCTGCTCGCTGGACAAACTGTAAAGGTTCACCTTGGCAGCGTGAAGAGGCCCAGCATTTCTCTTACCCTCTGACCAAAAGAACCTACCATGCAGGCACGCAGCTGCAATCCTGGAAGCACCACACCTTCAATCCACAACCCAAACCGCCTTAGACCTTAGGCACAGTCGGGGCGCCATCTTCCGTGCAAGGGCTGTGGCGCTTCCGAAGCCCTGGTGCAAAGACTTCTGGCAGGCAATTTAAGAACACCGCAACTCCCGGGCTCGGAAGTTCCACAATGTTCCACAGCTAGGACTGACCAGGGCCTGGGGGCCTGGGGCTGGGATGTTGAAAACGGACCACAACAATCGCGGCTCCAACCGACGGAGACCTCGGAGTACAGGATGATCTCCGCAATGAGGCAGTAGTCAGGGACCTTGGTCATGGGATCTGATATGCTCTGATGCGAACAGCGAGGAGCTCAAACAATTGTCTATTGGCTGTGGAGAGACGCAGGCTTCGGGAGTGGGATCTGCTTGTTTGATGTATCAGACAGTGGCAATTTCAGCAAGCACATGGCCATGCCAACCATTGACTCCCTCGAAGATATTTTGCTTCCCGACGAGCTGCCATCATGGCCACCGGACGAAAGAGGGACTTGAGGTTGTCCTGTCTCTTTTTATATATTGAGAGAGTTTGGCGCCGAGGCTCTTGCGATGTCTGATTCCGAGTGTTTCGGGTTCTTGAATCGGGTCAGAGCTGCTGATTCTGATGCGAGTAGAGGACCATTACCGTGGACGGCTTGGCCGCTGGAAAAACCTGCTTTGTGCCGCCTTGGCGAAACCCTTGTGTGGGGACTTCCTGACAATGTACAGACAAGTCACGTGTTGCCGTATGTAGTATAGTATAATATAGAGGTCTCTGCACACGTCACAAACGGCTGTCCGGCAGTTCGGCTCGGCCGGCGTAGCCAGGGTTCATCGTGATGAAGACCTGACATGCAGAGAAATAGAGAAGCACAAACAATACAACCCCAAACGGTTCCAAAGACACCCCTTGGACACCCCCACTTTCTTCTTTTAAATCACGCGCGCTCTTTTTTGCTGACGAGGCCCCCTTTCTCGCGCAGAGGTGAGAGAGGCGTTCTCACCCCGAAAGCACGGCTCCGACTCTGCTCTCTTTGCTCCCCTTGCTCCCCTTGCTCTCTGCTCTTCTTTGCAAGCCAAGAGTGCAGCTTTGCAAGCAAGGAGCAGCTCTTGTAGCTCACTCTAAGAGTCACTCAGTCACTCAAAGTTGTAGGCTCCGAGGCCCTAAACTTCCTACAAACCCCCCGAACCTACAAAGCTACGAACGTTACGAACCTGCACAAACTTACAAAATCCTACGAACCTACAATGTTTCAAACCCCGAGTGCGAAACGCGGACAACAATATGAGGCTTCCTCGGGTCCCAGCCCCGAAGCGCGGGTTCAGGGGAATCTCGCGTCCCACGAATTCAAAGGTCTCCTGTGGTCAAGCGCCGAGCTGAAGAGTTCAACCGCTTCATCAGTATTGGCCGAGCCTGGAACACCAAGGCAGTTCTTTTTCAAACGAAAGACCACGCACCTGCCACCGGACCTGCACTCTACCTTCTCCATCCTTGGCAACTTGAGAAAACTTCACCTCCTCCGTCAAACAAAAGTTTCATATGTCGTTCCCGTAGCCCCTGTGCAAGGTACGGACACTTCAACAACCTTGGCAACCAAACAACTTGTGCCAAAAGCTCCATAATCGACAAAGCACGGCAAAGCACAATAAGGCACACATGCCCGCTGGGTTCTGAGCTCACGTATTTCCAGCCGAGAGGTGTGTCGAAGCGAGGGTAGAAGTGTAGAAGCGAGCCGCAGCACAACCGTGCAAAATTTGGGGGGCGAGGGGGGGTATCGACGTCCAAGGAGGTTGTTGAATGGATGTGTCTTTGAAATGCCCGTGAGTGCGTGGACGGTTGGTACAAACGCTGCAGACAGCTCGGACACAAGAAATGTTCCTCATGTCAACTGACATTGAGGCTACATCGCGGCTCGTTGTTTGCTGAATTTCTTGGTGGCCCTGACTTATTGTTGCAGCTTGTTTCTATCCGTGGAGAAAGTGTCCTTGCGAGCGCGGATGGCGTGAGTGACGGTCAGCATCTGCTGTGCGATGACCTCAGTCTAAGATGTCGAAGCGTAACAGCGATCCAAAAACATCCAGAAGCGAAACGTCAGCAAAACCTAGAGCTACAGTTGAACCTGGGAAGTGCGGGGGTGCGAGCTCTGGGACCATGGCGCTCAAGACCTCCACCTGACAGATTAGCGTTCACGGACTTCTTGCGGGCATCAGCGGAGGACTCGGAGTTTCGGTGCATTAGTGCATTGCCCAACTAAAGAGTTGAGGCCGTGATCCGAACACTCTCGAGCATGAACCAAAAGGATCAAAAGGTTACCCCGCCAGATCAGGTCTTGTGCAACACTTCAAGGAAACATGTGGGAAAAAACCTGCCGCAATGAAGCTGACTCAACCCTGCTGTTACATCGTCCTCTTTGAGCTTTAACGCATCTGCTCGTGCCTGGATGCGGTTGAACTCGTCAAAGCACGCCCACGCACCTGCCTGGCGTGGACTCTTTGGGAAAGAAGGGGCGCACCTTGACCACATTGTTGTAGGTGGCGTATGATCTGTGATGAACGCCGACACATAGTTTTCAAAAAAAAACACTACTCTCCAGGGTCTTGGCCGTATATAGCATGCAAGGCCCTCCAGCCATGCCGGGTGGCAGTGGCCAATCAGGAGCCGATTTGATGATGATGATGATGATGGTGATGATGATGATAATGATGAATATGCCACGGTGCTTTCCGTTTCTTCAAACCTCTGGGTATCTCTGGCTTTCGGGTCTTCGAACGGAAGCTGGCGTACATCAGGTGCGTAGGTCTCAAGGTCTCCTGAGAGCCTTCTGCGAGCCCTTGAAAGGCTGGAACAATCGAGAGCTTGCGCCTGGGCTAAGCCGCTGAAAAAGCGGCCCATGATCTTGTAGTCGAGGCCTCTGAAGAACTTGCCGAGCTCGGGCACTAGCTTTCGGCTTCTCAAGGCTTAGCTGAAGTCCAAAGAATAGGAACCGCTGCCTGGGGTTTGTCGGGGTTTTGTAGGGTTGGGGTACAAAGTTGACAGGCTTGTAGGGTTTTGGGTTTATCGGGTTTATAGGGGTTAAGTGGTTTAGGGCTTATGGGGTTTGTTGGGCTAGGGTTGAAGACATGAAGGGTTATTGAGGGGAATGCAGGGTACCGTCTTGTCAAACGTGCAGTGGCCTCGGATCCTTGAACCTTCTGCCTTGACTTCGAGCGTGAGCACAGTGCCCCAACAACAAGCCAAACCGACCCTGAACTAGTAATCATTGGCATCATTGGAATCGCCAGCACGGTTAAGCCCAAACGCCCGAACCTTAGAAAGTCCACAAAGTGCGAACTCCGCAACCCCCCCGCCATCGGAGCAATTGAAGACGATGACTGGAACTGCCAGGGCTTTACCCAGATCCTTCGAGGGGTTTTGTTGGGCATCGACAGGTCAAGCTTTTGCCGATGTGCGGTGAAGGAGATACTGGATTCGGACGGGAAGGGTCCTGAACTTTTCTGGGTTGAGCTGAAGGCACGAGATCATGGGCTTGATGCAAGGCCCTCCCTTTTTGTAGTGAGGCTTGCTTAAGGGCGGTTAAGGGCGTGGAGGGGATTGGCAAGCGTGAACCTTGGAGAACGGTACAGACCACGAGCGTTCTCGTGACAACTGCAAAGGCAGGACCACTGCAGGGGCCGATTAGGGGCACAAGGTTGCACCGGCAATCGTGGCCTTCTTTAAAGCAAGGGCCGAGCATGGCGCCACCGCCGTGAGGTATGGAGGGGGTGCATATGATGATAGTAGTTAAAGAGGGTGCCCACATGAATGGGTTTTATGGCCGGTTGCTGCGAAACGGCCGCATGCGTCCGCAACCGTGCAGAAACACCCGCGAGTGTCACACAGCGGCTGTAGTTGCGGAGTCCCGCGGTTCCATGTCAACCGTCCAACAGATCCAGCGTGTCGAGCGTCATGTTGCAGCCCCGTAGCTGCAAACAGGTTCCGCATCCTCCTCCATCTTTTCAAAATGTCAAACGTTAACGACTTTCACAGATATCGGGTCTGGGGCATCCTCGTATCCGTCGTCGCTTTGCTGTATCAACCCATCCCATTTCCTCACGGTAGATCCAAGACGACCTATGACGACCTCAATCTGAAACTTAAAGCAGCGCTCCAGGCAACAAGCCTTCGAAGTGGGTGACCTTAAGGTGCCGACGACCGGCATCGAGGCATCCCCGAAGTTTGGAGGATGCGAAGGTGAACGACACGAGCTTAAAGCAGCTACCGCAGCGGTAGCTCAAACGACCCTACGGATTTCGGCACGATCCCCAAACACAACACAAATGCCCTCAACAGAACCCGATCCCATCCACTTCCTTGGTGGTCTCTGTCTTGCCGGTACCAGCAGGTCCGGCCGGGGCGCCTCCACAATGGAAGCCGTGTTCGGACTTCGCTCAGTACAGCTACAAGCGTGAGCCGCCACGTTGGAGGGCCGAGAAAACAGAAACGTGTCGAGCCTCCGAGCATGCAACCAGGGTACAGACTTGCACTGAGATGTGAGAGGAGCGCAAGGGTTCAATTTTAGTCAACACCAGACTACATGGTCTGAGATGAAGAGCCATTGGACAAACATTTTGTGATCTTAGGATGTCGAACCTTGGCCTCCTTGGACCTTACCCAGAGGCCTACAGCACGACACCATCGGACCTCCGTAGTTGAGGTGTATAGCGCCGGTCAGTGTCATGTAGCACCTGCGCGTTCTTGGTCGGAAGCAGAGAGATCCTCTCCGACCCTCCCCCAAAGGAAGCTGCAAGCCATTGGGCCAACGAGGCGTCTTTTGCAGCCCCGGGGTCGTCGATGAAAAGCTCCGGGATTCATGCACAAGCAGCCAAGGAGGCATCTTTAGGCAGGAACTGTGACAACCCAAAGTAAAAGTGAGGTGATTCCCGATGTCTTCACCCAAAGATGCCTCCGATCGCCCTGGGTCCAGCCGGAACCGTTGCTTCTCGAAAGTGGCAGTTCCCCCTCTGTATCGCGACAAGATCTGGTGAGGTGCAAATCATACCCACTCTCAACCACAAGGATTCTAATTTCTGGTGAGTTTATTTATGGATGAATGGGGGCGAACCTTGAGGTCAGGATTGGGGGAGAAGGCCACAAGGGTCCTTTGCATCTGGCAAGTCATTTCGTACATTTATCCCTTGTGGAATCAAAGCTGAACCCCACCCTAGCCCTAGTCAGCTTGCAGCTCGGTGTAAACGGCTTCAAGGCTTTAAGGAACTTACAGTTCAGGGTTCGGGGATACGATGGCGGGTTGGGGGCCTAACATGTCAGTCCCAAACCCGTAACATGGCAAGGCATGGCTTTCTGCAGCGGCTTCAGGCACTGAGCCGGAATGGAAAACAGACCCTGGTAAGGACTCCAACGAAACCGTCATGATCCCAATATACACAGACCACACACATCATTACATATATATATATATATTAGACATATATATATATAGTGTGAACAGAGTCAAGCAGCTCACGAGTGAGACCTTGGCACAGGGTGTAGATTCGCTTCAAGTCCCGAAGTATTGGACAGTTGGTTCTGTTCTGTGCCTGGACAGCCATCCGGCGTCAAACCTTGGCCGATGCCAAGCCCCGGACAGAATGAACGCTGGAGGCATTCCGTGGGATGCGCTCTCAGCTCCTCGGCGGCTCGTCTAGGACTCACCAAACCCCAAAGACAAGCAAGCTCGAGGATTGTTATTCATGCAAAAACTCCAGAAAGCGCCGAGCTCGTTCACATCTCACAGTCCGGTCACGGGTCCAACATCCACTGCAAAAGAGGATTCGTGGTCAACATGCCCGAAGGGGTTCTTGAAGATAACATTTTCAAAGGATTCTTGCACACCTTTCGTGGCAGATGCCATGCTGCCAGGACACAAAAGTCCAGCAGCTTAAACCTGAAATGGCTTCGCGTACAACATGCAAGCCATGGTTTCGGGGCTTGGGGGCTTCGGGCTCTGCAGCCGCACACTCTGAATCAGCGTTGACTCCCAACACTCCACAAATGCACCGAGGCTGCATTGCGAAGGTCGCCGCAGGCTTCCTTCACGCGCCTCGGTCCAGTGTTGCCTCTCTATTTCTCAAGTGGAGAGCCAATGAATTACAAGGATGCCCCACCGATGCCCAGAAAACAATGACCGCAGCCGCAACCGAGCTTGTATGCTCATACTCATACCTGTGCTGCCCATGCTTGAGCCACGGGGACTTGGCCATCCTCAAATCTTACATTCAGATGCGACGTCACCCGCATCTCTCTACGACTGGACTAGTCCTCCAGGTCAAGGCAAGGCTCTTCACCATTGAAACCTCTGCCTCAACGAACATGCAAGAACGCAGCGCCGCCTACCCTTGCAATGCTGACTTGTGAATGCTGAATGCCACGTTTACTGGCTACTGGAAGGCACAAGGGACCTCCCGGATCCACTTGCGGGGGTCGTAGTAGCTCTTGTTTGGCTTGTCCTGCTGGCAAAGCTGCGGAAAAGGAGCAGACTGCCAGAACATGCGAGGGATGTTGACTCAACACCCTGTGACAGCTGTGCTCGCGAGGAAATAAGATATATGGTGGAAGGAAATCGTGGTACCGGAAAGTACTTGACCAAAGGCAGCGGCCAGAGATCAGATGGCTGTGGATGGCTAGACATTTGCAACCTATGAAGTTGCATGTAGGGCTGGGTGGTTGGGGTGGTGGCGTGATGCGGTGGGGTGGCGGGGTGGGCAACCCCAATTCCTGACGGAAGTTTAAAGGAGTTCACAAACCCTGGAAACCCCCAAACCAAGTGGATGCCTCGCCCTCAGGATTGCCAATCTGGCCCTGGAGGTAGCCCTCCTTTGCCCGATAGAACTGGAGAAGACCTGCAAGACAAAGAACAATCGGGTTTTGAGGCTTGGCCAATGGGCTTAAGGGTCTTGCGTGGTCGGGGGGTCGTGGCTTATCAAGAGCCGTGTTCCCCAGAAACAGCATGAAACAGCGCAGTCCCCTCCCAAAAACACATCATGCAATTTTGTCCGCGGGGTTGAGAATGAACCCAGCCCATGCTAGCGCAACAACATGTTTGCACAGCCTTAGCCAAGTCCATTTTGTGCAGATCCGGCACCCGCAGAAACTCGTTCGACTGCTTAGTGGTGTGATACAGTCCAAGGTCTCGGGCCGTAGAGTTTTCTCAGGTACTAGTACCACCCAATCCACCTAATCCCCCCCTCTCCCCCCTTGGCCTTCCAACCCCCCACACTCGGCTCTGAGGGGATGACCTGAGGGTTTCCTCGCGGAGCGTGTGCGGAACTTCAAGGCCGACCCACCCCCATCACTGCCCCCATCACTGCCCATTCCTCTGTCCATCCTCGGAAAAGGCGAGACTCCCGGCCGAGGCGCGTGGCGCGAAGCGCCGAAGCGGCACTCGACTCAGACGCACCACTGGCTGTTTTTGGGGAGTGTGCAAGGCAGCCCCCTTCGGCCCCACACCTTCCCAGTACGCCCACTGGGTATCCGTGTCGACCTCACTGGCCACCCGTGAAGCTGCAGCGGAGTACGAGCCGGATGCAAGTGAACTTCCACAAGTTTCCAGACGTTTGCACACGTGTCCTAACCGTCACGGCGGTGAAGGCCCAAAAAGAACGAGCGCTCGGCGTTCATCTTCACCACCTCAGGCAAGAACTCCCTTCAGATTTGTGACGCTTCGTGACCCTCGCCATTCGGAGCCAGGCTCCACGGTTACCGAGCAGCAACAACAGAAAACCATAGAAAACCTGAAAACCTCACAAGATCTGACACCCATTCCTCAGCTTGAGCTCCCTCCCAAGGATTCTTCGTTGCCCCTCATCACGCCCCTCAATGCCTCAACCGAAGACAGTCCCAGGTGCTCCGTTGTTGAGGGCTGTCTCGATGTCCTTCTTCTCAGAGCCACTGCCGCCATGGAAGACGAAGAAGAGTGGCTGACAGGGAGCTTTGGCGTGACAGCAAGTCAAGTCTGCATCCTGCAGGAGGCTGGGAGGGCAAGGCTTGCCATTTGTTCTTTGTCTCACAACGCATGCCCTGGAACGCAAGTAGAGCCCACTTAAACATCTCCAAAACCCTAAGCTCGTACCCTGGACCCGCCCGCGCCGTAATCAACCGGACACTCTTGGTCTGGCACCTGCCTTGGCCTGGCCGATCTTGGACTCTGCATACCTTGGGAGTTGAGAGTTTAAGACGGTTGAAGGGGTGCCAGGGCTGGGGAGTACTAAGAGGGCATGTGAGACCGCGTGGCAGGCATTGAAGTGCCGCTTCAACGCCAGATGCCCTCCGGGGAGTAGCATGGCGCTTAGCATGGCGCTTAGCATGTCCACGCCTCTGCAAATTGAGACCCGTGCAATTTGTCTCTGACCCGTCCCCATCCTCCAGACCAGCCGCTGGCTCCTTCCCCTGTCCTACGAAAAAACTGCATCTTCTACGAGACCCCCCCCCAAAAAAAACAAATAAATAATGAATAAAAATAAATAAATAAACAGGTATCTTCGAGACATTGCCGCATGGACATAGTGCTACACTAGCCCCTCGCCCCATGGCATTGTCAGCGGGGCTGATGCACTACATTCCTGTCGCGTGACCTGGGTTCCAGTGGTCTTGCTAGGCTCGGAGCGATCACCGAGTTTAAGGGGCTTAGCTCATCATCTCTTTTCACCTGGACTCATGTCCAAGGAGTGCACAGCGCATCTCATCAAATCTGTGGCTTGAGGTTGCTGCCAGTACCCTGCTCCGGCTCTAAGGCAGATGCTTCTGAAACTCTCCAAGGAGTTCGGGTCGCAGCACGACATTGCCAGCCTCAGGGGTATTGATGCCGCGGCCGATTTAAATTGTCTTGTTGATGAGGCACCAGATTCACATGGATTCCGCACCGAGCTTGAAGGCAGCCTCCGCTCGCTCCCCCCGAATGGGCCTTGTAGACGCCGTGGACGTTGCCGAATGCTGCGGCCTTTTGCTTCGCACTCAGCGGCTCACTTAAGCCCCTTTTAGCCACAGCCGCGCACTGCACGAAAGGAGCCCTTGTCCGAGCCCCAAGCAATGGTGAACATCGGGGAGATGGGGTTCAGGCCCTCGTAGACCTGACAATCGGCGATTCATGGAAAGGTGAAGAAGGGCGGGGGGGGCTCCCGCAGAGCTCCTGAAACCTGTGATCGCAGTGAATCGCACCTTGAAGACATCCTCAGGTGTAGAGTAGAGCTTGTCCTTCGTCACGCCGCTGTTGTCCACGCCATCCTGTGCATGAAAAAGCTGCAGATTCCCGAGAGAGAACTGCGAGCTTTCTTTGAGTCAGACAACCAAATATGGTCCTCGACACCGCCAGTGATACCAATCCTCATCTGGCTTATCTGCTTACCGTGCTTCCAGCTGCACTCCGGGTGACCACTCGACTACTATGACTGATGTTTGGCCAGACTTCCAAGAAGTGCTATTTCGTAGACGCGATTAACATTGGCGCATGTGCGGTCGATACAGGCACGGGGGGGGTTTCAAATCTCGCAGGTGCCAATGCCAGGGGTAGCCTGCGTTGTAGTGTCAAGATCTGCTTTCGGTGTGAGCTGATGACGCCCCATCGCGCTTAAAGCTCTAAAGCTCGCCGCATGAGTCCCATGCCACTTGCAGACAGTAACTGCACCTGATGGCAGTGTGAGGCTGCGGCTCCATCTCCAGGATGATCTTCATGGGGGCCATGCCTAGAGACTTCTTCTGTGTAAACTGTGGGCAAACTATGACTTCAAACAAATTTCGGGCATTGGGGCGTTTAGGGTTGAGGGAATGCTCCGAAAAGGCCTCAATGACTTCTGCTTACTGCAAGACTCGAAGACTTTAAGCATTGCTACCCTGCAAAACTAGGTACCTGAGAGGCATGGGCTACCAGCGCATCATGCCCAAACCTGAAGAAAGTCCTGTGTGTGTTCCCTAGTCCCCAGGCTTTCAGGTCATGAGGCGCTTGAGGTACTTCTTGCAGATCTCAATGTTCTCTTCGTCCACCTCCTGGAAAACCGTTCGGCCCGGATTTTGAATCAATTCCCAAGCCATCATGCGACTGCACTGCGCATGTCCCCAGACATCCCCAGACCTAACAGCTCCATACACAGCATTGCTTCCGCCAAGGTGTCCTCGGACAGGTCCAGCATGTGGGAAGAGAACAACGGCTCGCCATGCTGGGCGAAGAAGGCCTTCCATCAACCCCCCCCCCCCCCCCTCCCCCAAAAAAAAAAAAACACACACACACACACACATGCGCTCACAACTCGAAGGCAATGTGGTCCTTCCCATGCGGGAAATCGGAAACTGGGTAATGTCTACGATAAGGATTATAGTACTGCAGATGTGCTTCTGCGGGCCTCGTCTGCATCCAGCATTCCATCGAACCAAGGGAGCAATTTCTTGGCACAGTGGTCTGAATGGACGAAGACCTTGGCGAAACACCCAAAGCTCGTGGAACCTCTCGGAAGCACTCAAACTCCCGACCTCGTGTGCCCACAGAGTCCACACACACACACACACACACACACACACACACACACACACACACACACACACACACACACACACACACACACACACACACACACACACACACACGCACCCACGCACCCAAGCACCCACGCACCCACGCACCCACGCACCCACACACCCACCCACCCACGCACCCATGCACCCACGCATCCAGCCACGCACGCAAGCTTGGTCGCCGGAGGCCTGGGCTTCCCGGCAGGAATTCCGTAGGCCTTAGTCAAGCTGGGTCTGCAGATCCTGGCGCCTGATGTCCTGTGCCGATCTCAACAGGGCCCTTCCGGTAAGCTGCCTCTGCACCCCTAGGAGATCCTAGGACTCGAAATTCCGCAACCCATCAAGATACAGCGCCGGAGCCATTTCACCCAGTCGCCGGCGCCACAGCACGCACAAAGTGGGCGCCGGCCACGGCGCCCAGTGTCGAGGCCTCTGTCGAGGGCATTGCGACTGTTCCCTTCTTTCATGGCGGATTCAAGGCTGGAAACAATACCTTGGCTTTGAAGTCATTTTGCTCAATCGGGCATTCTTGGGGTCTGTGATCGCCAATCATTTTCGGGTTTGGAGATCAAAGTTGTCATGGCCTTGCACGCTGGAGCACGGGGACAGCTTCAGAGATAGCTTCCCTTCAACAATGGGCTCTACCGTGAGCCATGCGAGCAACCGGCGTAATCAGCCTCGCGGCCATAAGCTTGCATAAGCTATCATAAGCTTACACTATGGATACTACGGCACCTGAACCGTTTTCATCTTTGCCTGTTCCGGCCTGGAGTACCCCTTTCTCATTCGGAAGGCTCTTCCCGGCCATGAACGCGGAGCCGCCCTGCGCCAGCACCGGTCTGGGTGCAAGAAGTCGAGTTTGTCAATGCGAACACGACAACCACCACAACCACCACAACCACCACAACCACCACAACCACCACAACCACCACAACCACCACCAGGCTCAAGATATGAGTTTCTGCAAAAGCAACGACATGGAGACAGCCTCCTTCTCCTCCTACCCCTGCCACTATTGCGGCCACAAGTAGTTCCTTTGGTTTTTCGAAAGGGCCACTACTATGTCAACCGTCAAAGGTCTTTGCTGTTACTGAACCGAAATCCTCAATCAGGCAAGCCTTCGCAGAAGTCACGAACTACACGGATGTCTGAAACCTCACCGACGGACTGACCCCGCACGCCCTGACAACATGATGTCCTCGGAGAACTGGATCATGACGGGGCGGTTCAGGACCTGCCAGCATGCGGCAGTTTTCTGACCGGGATGGTCATTTTCTTTCAGCTCTGAGTATGAGGCTTCTTGAACGGGAGATGTGTGCATGAGGACAACGAAAAGTCAAAACAGCAAGAGCAGCGCGGACACACCGGAAGACTCAACGGCTTAAGGCTCCCCATCTTTGGGGCCAGCTTTCAATTCAAGAAGGTCGCCCTTTGGGGTTTGAGAGACCCTAGTCTCCGAGTCATCCGAGTCCTACAACCTGATATCGATTCGCCTTACCCTGCAAGAGTGGAAACAGATGCATCGCCTTTCCAGCTTCGAGGACAGAGTTGATGGTGCCTTGGGCACAGAGGGTGCCACAAAGGGTGCCACAAACGGGGGCTGCCACAGCGGGTGCCACAGGGGGTGCAAGGGAGTGCCCAGCGGGTCCAAAGACCTCTGGACCATCAAGAAAACGCCCCCCCACCCCCCTCTCTGGTTCCAAGCAGCTTGTGCTGGTGCAGTTGAAGGCCGGAATGGCATAGCCTCGGCACCCACAAAATGTATAAGAAGGCTCCGTCAAAGGCCCACCAAGCCTCCCCCCCCCAAAAAAAAAAAGAATCAAGAAAAGAGAGAGGCACACGCTGGCACACTCCGAAACTTCTCCAACTTTTTTGGTCGTCCCTGAGAGCTCTTCTCTTCTGAGCTTTCGAGCCGTTGGCTTTGGCGTGTTGGAGCAGAGCCCAGGCGACGTCGCCCGTGACGACCCCGGCCTCTCAGAGCCCACAAAAAATGCACTTCGGTTGAGCAACCCTGGGCGCGCTGCGTTGGGCGAGCACTCTTCACTGCTGGTACTTAAGTCAGCCAAGCCCCACCTTCACACCCGGGACATCCCAGAAGGACATGATCGATGTGGATCTCGGATTTTCTTGGGCAATTGGGGCTCGTGCGTCAGAGCAGCGAACTTTAAGGACAAGATCGCTGCATCATGAGCTACTGCAGCGAGCCAACGAAGGGCTCAATCTTGGGTCCTTGTAAAGGTCTCTGGGCTTGTGGTCGGATTGCGTGAAGGCCTGAACCTCTGCAATCTCTGCCTACATTCCGGCATTCCCACACAGCATTCAGTAAGTGCCTGGCCCTTTGGCGAGAAGACAAAGCGAAGCTACACTGTCTCTGTGGAGCCACAGATCCAGAAGAAAGGAAGCCCAGAGACATATGCGCGCAGCTAGCAGCACTTGCAATGCACCCACGTAAGCAGTATCGAAACGCAGAGGGTATTCCAAGGTCGACAACACCAGCGGTTTGAGAAGCTAGGCTCGGCACTTGTCAGTCAAGGGTGTGACCACCAAACGTGGAGTGTTCCCCAGGTACTCGAAGGAGTACCTGGGACCCACTTAAGGCAGCAAAATGGCACCAGAGGGTCCCAATGTCATCACCTGCGAGGCGCACCGGATATTGGCGATGGTCTGCTTCACGATGCAGGTGTCCGAAGTTCGGGTCCCATCGGACCTCAACCGAAGGTGACTACTTCCCACGGCTACTACACACACCTCCCAAGCGAATCGCATCACGAAGCTTCCTATGCTTCCTGACACCCTTCCGAATGGAGGAGGCCCACTGAAGCTGCGAGGCTCCCACATCAGTACCTGATCTGTCGAGAAGGCGGTTGCCAGGTCTTGAGAAACAAAATCACAAAGCAGGGCTTGAATGGCTTGAAGTAGCTTGAAGTATCACACATCTCACTCTGCCTCCTCCATGGCCCAGTAGTAACGAAGCTGCTTGCTCCAGTCAAAGTCATTGACAGACCTGCCGGAACCCCTGAAAGCCTTCAAGAGCAGACAGACTGTAAAAAGCCAAGGCGACAGGAGCTCAAGGTCAAGGTACAGGGTACGGACGCTAGAAAACACAAAAAACAGCACACGAGCACCGCCCCTCTCTGAGGAAAACTCAAAGGTTCAGAATACTGGAGACGCGAGAAGACTTTCTCAGTCATTCTGAGTGTGATTCAGTGTGATTCAGTGTGCACCACATGACCTGCACTTGGCAGCATCGATCTGCTCCAGGACGGAAATTCCATGCACCTGACGGCTCAGACCAATCGAGAGCCCCGAACCACCCCAGGTGCTCAACAGCTCAACAGTTAGGCCCCGCGGCCAATGCCGACTTGCTGCAACGCCAGAGAAGGTCTTAGACGAGGGTTCGGGGATTCGGCCTTCTATGCCTAGGACCCTTAGTGAAAGTCACCAGTACCCACCGCCACCTCCTGCAAGTGTTTACTAACTTTCTTCTTTTCGTTCCCTTGCAAGAGGTTGTGCTGCCTGGTCCCCTCGAACTACGCTTTTCAGACTGCAACTCAAGAAGTTGCCGCTGGAGCTTCTGCCAATACAATGCCGTGTGTTTTGCTTTTGCGTGCGGACGTCGACAGTTCGTCCGGAAGTGCAATTGCTATACCTCGCAGCGCCAAGCACTCGCAGAAAGCCAATGCAGTATTCTTGGAAGTGCACGGTACGATGTGAACCAGCTATGGCAAAGGATGCCACCCTCAATATCATCAAGCTTCAAGCCACATAGAGCCGTAAAACTGCGAAACCTTCGCCGCTTTATAGCCAGGGCTAGGGTCTGCAATGTGGTCTGGTTTGGTATTGAAAGATTCGCCGCCCAGTCTGCAAGTCCAGCAGGTTCAATTTGCTTGCGAAGCCGACTTGCCGTGAAGGAAGAGCATGGGACAAAGTTGTCCAACACTTTTTCTCTGGAACCGAGCTCCTGAGCAAAGACGGAACTGAACAAGCAAGGCAAGGCCAAGGTTCAGACATCCAGGACAATCAGCGCACCCATCAGCACCTTGCAAACCAGTCTGCTGACGTTTGAGATGACACAGTTTCGTCAGTGCCTACCAAGACCGCAGAGGGGCCCCCCACAACCCCGAGTGATGAACAGGAGCCACAAGGATTCGCTAGGAGTCAGTAGCCGCAGTAGCCTTACCGCAACCTGTCATGTAGTAACAGCCATATACATCCAAAAGGAGGAAAAAAACCGAGATCACAAATGGGGTCGCCCGCTCGTGCATTCAGATCCCTCTGAACCAACGAAAAGCGTTAAAGAGGTCTCACACTGCGGGATGATGGCGGACGCATCTTTAGATGTCTTTAGATGTCGCTTCTATGGGTAAGCCTACAGCACGCGAACCTCCAAGCAAAGCCCGTTCGCGTTAGGAAAGTTTGACTCTCTCCTATGTGCTGCGCGACCTTTTGAAAATGACTGTGAGGACCTGTACCGCTTGGGGAGGTTCTCAAGGCCCGAGCCCGCTGTAGCTTGGTCAAATCCAGGCGTACCAGCTCGACACTGTGCCTGTGCGATTTGAGGTCGTTTGAGGTCTAGTTTCGGGATCAGGGCTTTTCAGACCTTGGTGGGGGGAGTTCAGTGTTGAAACGGGGCAACGTGAAACGCTGCAAGGCGCTCGCGCTCAAATTGCCTTCTCTCCAAGACTCTCTCACTTCTTTCACTGAGGCATAGGCTCCAGCTGCTGGTTGGTAAAGCGGATATTGGCCCGCATGGCCTCTTGCCAAACTTCCCCAGTCTCACCGGCATTTCTGCATGTTTCCGTGCCCTCTCCGTCCCGAGTGCATCGGGACAAGAGTGCCTGCGGGTCCCCTTTTTCCACAAGGTTCAGTGCGTCCTCGGCGCACTTTGTCCACATGATCTGGTCCACCGCAAGTGCCTGGCGTGCAGTGTCAAAGCAGACCACCCTCTCTGCCCTCTTTTTGTTTCGGGGGGCAGGGGGGGGGGGGAATTCTACATATCACTCCCTTCCCTGCTTAAACCTCTCTAAATATCATTCTCTTCCCTGCTTAAACCTCTCTAAATATCACTCTCTTCCCTGCTTAAACCTCTTAAAACACTCAAGGTCCAATGCTAGGAAGAACGGCGCCACGAGGACCGCTTGCGCAGGGAAGGGCCCGAAAAGCCAGTCTTTCCGCACGATGCCATCCTTCAGTCAAAGCTGAAGACTTCCTTCGCGCCTTTATTGGGTTAAGGGTTTAAGGGGTTTGCAAGTGGTTTACAGTAGGGTTGACAAGTTTAAGCTGAAAGGCATATGGCGTATCTAGGTCTGGGGCTCCAGGTGCGCCACTTCGAACTCGAACACCGTGAGCTCCGCAAGTAAAGCGCTTTTGACCCTACTGAAGGCACGGCTTTGACCACTTGTGGAAGGTTGTCTGCATGCAAATGAGGCTGTGTCATAGATGTCATAGCATTCCCTGCAGGCTCGTTTGTCCCTCCGACAGTCCTCGGGATAAGCCTCCACGGCGGCCTTCGTGCGGGGATCACATGTCTTCACGCTCTCAGCTCAGAGATCTTCGTACAAAAACCAATTCGTACCATGAAAAGGCACTGGAGAAGCACTTGGGGTTTTGAATCGGTTGTCTCTCTCTCTCTCTCTCTTGCTGGCCTTCGTCAACGCCTGAAGGCTCTCCACCATGCGTATTTCAATCTGCCCAAGCCTTGCATGGCGTCGCAGCTCAAACGCAAAATCTTCTGACATCTCTTTCATCGGTTTCAGAGACGGTGGTCTCCGTGCTTTGGAGTGTCATGCAGTCATGCAATGGGAGCAGGATCTGAAGATCATGGCAGACCAGTGGAAGCGCATCAACAGACGCGATCCGGCAAGCCCGAACGCTTAGCCGCTTTCTGCTGGGGCATCCGCCATCGCTCCACAGGAGAGCCTTGCGTCTGCACCGGGCTGACAAAGTGGACCTCAGGATGGTAGACCGTACTAGACCGTAGACATCTACACGTCTGCACGTTGCACCACATGTTGCCCCACACACGCGTCGTTTTCTTGATGCCTTCTCCTTGATCATGTCATTCATGTCGAGGATGTCCTTCTTCTTGTCCTTTCCATGCTAGCTGCCTTTCGGCCCTTTCCCTTCCCCCCTTTCCCTGTTTTCCCCCTTGCTCCCCTGTCCTCAGTGAACGACACCCTGCTAATGGCATCGAAGCACTTGCCTTGGCCAGGGGCTTTGGACTGTCCTAACCTCACCATGACCTTGCAATGACCTCGCCATGACCTCGCCATGACCTTGCCATGACTTCCACTCCTTCTCTCAAACGCCAAATCAGTGTGCAGACTGCGTAGGGCTTTTGCAGGCTCTACAGAGGCTTTGCGAGAAATCAGCGCCACCCCCAGACTTCCAAAGCGTGGGGTCCTACGCCCTGAAGCTAGCCCTAAAACCCTAAGACCCAAATCCCCTAAAACCCTGAAACCCTGAAAGCCCAAAACCTAAGACCCTAAAACCCTGAAACCCTAAAACCCTAAAACCCTAAAACCCTCAAACCCTCAAAGCCACAAATGCACGCCCAGGTGGCCCAGGTGCTCCTGGACCGCTTCAGGGTTCCTGCGAAGGCACATTGGGGGGCAAAGAGGGTTGGTTAGGGCTTAGGGGGCTTAGGGGTTTAGGCTTCTGAAGGTTCAAGGTCCTAACGACCCCTGAAGACTCCAAAAACGTAACCGACAAGCACTCCCCACCCTGTTCTACACAAAGACACCTGGTCTGGGACATGATGCTCAGCAGCTCGTCGTCAGACAAGAAGTAGAATCGCCTGGAGCAGGGCCCAAGCGACGCGAAAGTCGCAAGACTCCAGTACGATTAGGATTTTAGGGCTTAAAGGGTTACAGGAGGCCTACAGAGGGACAGGGGCACCTTTGCGGAACCAGGCGGACCCTCCGTGGAGCAGGTCCTAAATCTAGCTTTCCTGGGAGATGGAAGCCTGCTTTTCAGCTTCTGCTTTCGGAGCTTGCAACAGAAGAAGTAAATTCGACGCTCGGACGAGCGGCGGGAAGGATGCGCGCTTCGTCTCCAGGTAGGCCTTGCGGCGAAGGGCCGAGAAGCTCCAGGTTCGAACTTTTGACATCAGGGGCTTTGTTAAGGGGCTACATAGAGTCTGCAGATGTCTTATGCAGGCCTCCCTTGCCCGAAACTTGCACAAACTAAAGATGCGAGGGCCTTTCAGGGTGGATGAACTAAAGTAAACTGAGTATGGTGCCCAGATTATGGTAACAGAATACTGCGAGGGGATACCCGAGGCTATTTCATGCAATGCTGAAACTGACAAAGCCGAACAACCCTTGAAGCTGACCCCGGAACACTCATTGTCATGCCCATGTTTATACGAGAGACACTACGCAGGGTGCCCGATGGTGCCGTGCCCACCTCTAGACTCTTCTGGATCTGATCGAGCTGGTCGTTTGCATTCTTCAATCCTGAGGATAGGGAGGGCTTCAGCATGCAAAATGCTTGGCTGCGTTTGGCTACAGTCTCAGTCATGGCGCACTTTCATGTTAAAATAGGAAGTTAGCTGATGTACGACCTTAACTTTACATTCGTGAGTCACTTGCTACCTCTCTCACAGGAACCCATATAAAACGATATGTGAGCACGTTTCACGTGTCCACACCGTATAGTTGTAAACGGCAAAAAAGCCGCTGCAGCTTATTGTGTCTTATGCGGCTTTTTGTTTGTTGGAGACTCTAGAATCCATGCCGTGTCCCCTTCGATTTTGGCGGGTTTCTGTCTCCCAGCGGTTTCTGTCATCTCCAAGCCGCTATGATTCCTGGTTTTGTAGTTTGACGAGCGAAAATATCCTAAATCTTGAGATGTTTTCGACGGGAAACATTAATTAGACTCATGAATCCTGCGGTACTATTGCGAGCTACAATGGGACAGTGATGGAAAGGTTACAATGATGAAGAAAAGACAACACCCGCGAATCCGATGCAGTAGGGTGTACCTGGATTCCTTACGACCACTACCACTAAATACAAGATCCGGCGCACTTCTCTGAGCCTTTGGACACGGTTTTGAGAAGGGGAGAACACTGCCATCCCATCCTGATCCCTGCGATTTCTAAACTCTGGGAGCAAATAGAGGGGGCACTGATGCAGATTAGGAAAGCTCAAAAGCACCCTTGTAAACAGGATATCCGAGTAAATCTGCGGTGAAGCGGCTCGAGGTCTGCTGTAAAGATTTGTTTAACGGTCCCACAGCCCCGAGCCTACAACGGCACGCACGTTCTCTTTTTGTTCCTCGAAGGCACGTGGGAGTGAGTCTGAGAACCCACTGAGGTGAGCCATGCAAGGTATGAGGGCGGCGATGTAAACCAGCGAGACTCTGGACAAGCGCGACTTAACTCTCCAAGCCTAAACTTTAAGTGACCACCAACCCTCCAAGCCCCCTGTGGCCACCTCAGCGAGAGACCTATGACCGACTTAAGCCGGCAATGGCTGCTCGCGCAGCCCATTTTGAGCTTCAGGAGATTTCCGGGCTGTTGGGGGATCACAGTTTTTGCGTAAACCGGAACTGCCCGGGCAGCAGACATATTAGCACAATATCTTCATGTCTTCCTCGAAGACGCCGGAGTGCAGGGCTGCGCAGAGCCAATGCTGATCAAACTTCCTTCAACTTCATCATGCGAGACATTCGAGTGTCAGTAGTACTCGGTAGTAGTGAGTATGAGGAGATGTCAGCATATGAAACATGCAAACCCCGCAAAGGCCCCATTTTCAATCCATCACGATCTTGGACACATCGTCTGAGACTCTATGGCGAGGGAGAATGACGATGACTGTTTATGAGCTGTTCTCCCCAATTTGATGTTGGCATGCTGGGTCACCGAGAGCATGGAACTGGTGCCCTGCCCAGCCCCGCCCTCCGCGAACTGATGGAAGCGCTTCTGCTTTCTACGTTCAACAAATGCCTGCGGTGCGGCACCTCTGGGACCCTTGGGACCCTTGGCAAAGATGCGGAGTAAGACCCAACTGCTCTCGAAACTGGTTCTCGTTCGAAGGCCTCCCGCTCGTGGAGTAAACTGTGGCATGCAGAATCCCCAGGTAGGAGACAAGGCTCTGTGCTCCAAAGGTTACGGAAGATCTCAGAAACATTCAGAAACCCTGATGTTTGTCTCCTGCCCGTAGGTTCAGCAACTGCAGCAACTGCAGCCCTAGCTGCACCTTTGCATATTTTGGCCAGTGATCACTTCGGCATGGCCCTGTGCTATGACCCTCACCAGTGTGAACATCTTTTTTGTGACACAATATGGCGCCAGGTAAAGTTTCATATCCCGTTGGCGTTGTTTTCTACTGAAAGCCTCAAGTGACCTTGGCCTTTTTGAATCCGAGCAAGTCGTGTTCTTGTAAAAGTCCAGAGGGATTAGATGTCAATCTGCATCGGCTATCACCAGGGGGTTCTGTGGGGGAGTCTGCTGCGCATCTTACGGCTCCAGGGTTGAGGTGGTTTGAGGGCTTCGTGCGCCAATTGTGCTGTGGTCAGAACGAGCTTCAAAGCGCGCGCTCAGAACAACATGTTGCCCTGCTCCTTCTCCTGCTTCCATGAGGCACTTCATCACACTCATGGGAATGAGGCAAGAAGACGGATGCAAGCGACCCGGTGGGAACTAGGTGTCGGTGTTCAGGGTTCTCTCGCATAGGATTACTGTCAGACTCTTTGCTTGTTCACATAAGGTACCTCGCACACAAAAATCATCATGTCATCCTCGCTGACTCACTTGCCTTGTAGATCATCTCGAAGTACTGGTAGATGATGGTGACCTAGGTGTTGATTCCGAAGCCCAAACCAAACAACAACGTCAAGCCAAGAATCCGAAAACCCAAACTCGAAAAGTGATGCCCCCACACCGAGGCCCCAAAGGAGGACCACCGCTCTCCTGGCTCTCCTCCTCCACGCCCTGTCCACCTTGCCCGGCCACGCCACCCTTTGCACGCGCTCCACGTGCCTGCACGCTCTCCCACTGCCAAGGGGTGCAGTGCGATACCCGCGGTGGGCATGGGGGAGGTGTGCGGGGGCGGATATCCGGTTGTCGGGGAGTGCGTGGGGAGGTGTGGACGAGGGTGGGGGGCGCGACATCCGGGAGGGCGTGGACACAGGAGGTGTGTGGACAATTTGGGAATGATCTGGTTGATGGGGATGGCGTGGGAAGGTGCGGGCATTTCCACGCCCACGTCGTCAACCGAATGTCACAGAGTCCAGCATCAGCAGTAGACGGGCTCCCCCACCCGATGGGTCCACACCGCCCCCACGCCCCCTCCACGGAATGTCGCGCTGGATATCGCACTCCCACCCTCCCCACACCCCCATCCCTCCCCACCCTCTCCCCGTCAACTTCTTCGTGCCCTCCATGTTCTGTTGACCGTTTCATTTGGTGTTCGGAGCCTCTTCCGTCAGAATGCGTTCCGATACGGCGCCCTTCCGAGTTGAAGCACCAAACGAGAACCAACCAAAGAGCGGCTTTCGGAAAGAAAAGAGAAGCATCAGAGCTGCTTGGGACCCGGCTGCCAGCAGAATGCCCGTGCCGCTGCCGATAGCACCCAGAAAGTCTGCCATGATGGTCAGCATGCCTGTCAAGGACTTAGGGGTTAGGGCAAAGTCTTCATATATGTGAATATATATATATATATGTATGTATATAGAAGTATACCGCCCATGGTGCAGTCGTGGGGTTTTTGGTTCGGGTTGAAGGGTTTAAGCGTTTGGGTTTTTCAGAATTGTTAGGGCTTTAGGGTTGTCGAGGGCTTTCTAGTTGAGGGTTTGTTTAGGTTTTAGCAGCTTTAAGGGTTTATAGGGTCTAGGTTTTAGGGTTGGCTTTAGGTCATTTCAGGGTTTAGGGCTTCTGGGTATAAAGGTTGCGCAAGGGTTTTGGGGTGTACGGATGGGTTTCTCTTCTAAAATCTGTGGGGGAGACCACGGAGAAACGCTTGTGATCACGAGCACAACACCATGAGAGGTCCCAATGCATTCGAGTTTGGACCCGTCCGAGACATTGTTCTTTAGTAGTTTTCTTGTCGGGGCTTCGGAGATCTGAAGGCATAAGGCATTCGGACCATTCTAGCAACAAAGGTTGCTCTCGAGGCAGTGTCGATTGCCCACAGATCTACATCTACAAATATGTGTATATTGTGTATATGTATTACTATATTTATGATGGATTCTGTTTTATATACATATATATATATATTTCTATGTACCGCTCCTAGTTGTACTCCCCAGCCCAAAAATCTGGCAGAGCCTCTGGGTTGTTCCCCGAAGCAACTCCCGTGTCTTTGCCACTCCACGTGCTGGAGCAATGGTCTTTCTTAGGTCTTCATTCGTCATTCGGGTTCCGGGGCCTTGTGGCTTTTCCGAGATTTGGGTATATGTGTGCTTTAGGCACGGTTCCAGAACTTCTGGCCCATGTCTGCAGAGTTTAGGCAGAGCTGGGGCTTGCACCGATGCACATGCCGCCAAAGGCTGCCGCAGTGGGGATGTACATGTCAAGCACCTTCAGCCTCACGAACCAGGCTCAGGCACACAGGGTCGAAGTGCTGAAAGCTAGGAGAGCTAGGCCGATGTAGAGGCTGTCATCAGTTTGGGAATTCAAGATCAAATCAAACCTGAGAGACGGGGTAAGATGCTCAGATTGCATGGCCTGCAGCTGTTAAGTACGTGTAGTACTTGAATGTAACATACATCTCCTCATCCACTGGTCAGAAGTTGCAAGTCAACCAAAGTCGATGCTCTTGCAGTTCTCCTGGCTTGAGGTATGGCACGATGAACTCGTTTAACCGCTAATCTGAACCGGTTTTGCTTTGGACGAACCTGCTTGACACTACTGGCATGTAGAGAAAGCTGGCCCAAAATAAATTTGACCACCCCAGCTTCAGATTCCACTACCGAGACTTTCCGAGCCCAGGACAGCGATTCTTCTCTGTGGCCTGGCACACTTCCCATTGCCAAGCAGTCAGCGGCCCCCCAACCCTAAATCCTAAGCTCTGAGGCACGAGCCCTTGAACACCATGGACTGATCTCGCAAGTGCTTCGCGACGTCCCTGGGCGAGGACCCAGACACCTTGGATGAAGATCGTTTCAGGGGTTTCCAAAATTCAGGGCATCTATTTTGGGGACACCAAAAAAAGGGGATTAGCTACGTATAGCTGTGTAACAGGCACCCCCTATTTTTGGAAATGCCCATTTCATACTGAACCCAATCTGGGTTGGGACTTTGGCACTTTGGGGCTCCCAAGATCGGGGCTATCGTAGATTATCGTTTTTTGGGGAACATAAGAGGTTCTCCTATCCAGAAGCTTTTCAGTCATAACAGCGGCAAACCAACACACTCAAAACACCCCCATCTGCCCCAAAGCCTTTTGCGCCATGGTGCCTCGATCCAAAATTTGGAGAACAGCGCGCAGGAGATGAGAACAAAGGACACGTAGATCAATGCCTCTGGCGCAGGGGGGTCTCACTGGCCTTCTCAGTCTGAGCACTGAAAATTGAAAATGCTTTGAGAAATCGCAAGCTCGATGAGGCGAAGCGAGGATCTTTATGCGGCGAAGCTGCGTGAAGCGGATCCTCCCAGATATTCGAGACCTCAGAGCTGGGGCACTCTTCGATCGTCTAAGTACAGTGTCTATGTGCAGTCTACGAAAGTCCAAGATCTCAACAGGACCCAAACAGGACCCGAGACTACACAAAGCCAGGTCCCGCGCACTGCTGGGCGGCGAGATGTAATACGCGAAGCCGCCGACTGGCACGGACTGCCCGCCGAAGTCCGCCTCCTGAGGCAGTACTACAGTACGACTCATCGAGTGCTCCGAGTGCTCGATTTTGTTGAGCGCCTTTCATGTTTACACGCTTTTGAACATGCTGGAGCGTGATGTAGGAGACCGGTTGGCATGTCAACGCTGGAAGCGCCTGTTCTTGAGCCTGGAACCTTCAAAAATGGCGATTGCAATCTGGCTCCATCTTCAGGCCCGAAATGTGCATCGTTGACATTCGCATGTCAAATGTAGAATGTGGGCAGTTGTGCGCAGCTAAGAACCTTCTGAATAGTTCTTTGAGAGCTTGCAGCTAGACAAATGCCTCAAGTTCAACATTGGGTGCCTGCCACTGGCCGAGCAGGTTGACCAGCATGTTCGACTTGAAGCGCCTTCCAAGAGCAAACTGGGCTGCCTCTTGCAAGCACAAGCGGTTGCACGCGGTTTCAGGAGCTGTACAGTTTTCCTAGCTTGGCCTCACAGCGTGGCGCACTTTATGGAGCGGGGGCGCTTGCCGACAGAGGCCGGGGAAAGCAGGTGGGAGTGCACAACTGCACACGCATTGTATGCTGCTTAACTGAGATCATGAAACGGCTGTCAGTTGCGGCACATTGGCACGCCAGAGTTACCACTGGCACAGCCGTTACCGTGACATGTTAACTGGGCCGAAATAAGGCGATTGGGAGTTCAACTTTGGTTGAAGCAGGTAATTTCTGGAGGTCCCACAAGATCCTGCGTCAGGGGGGTCTGACTGAGAGTACTTCACCCTTGACTATTCCGAGTACCAGGCAGGATAGTGGGAGTGTTGGAGGTGTGGAAGGGCTTAAGAGAGGGAATCGAGTACAAGATTGCCCGGAGCTTGCCCGGGGATTACACAAGATTGCCAAACATCACTATCAAACAAAAGGTCCTGCATCCCTGCCAGCAAAAGCGCTGGCCTGTAAAGCAGCTGCGAGAGGAAGTAGAGGTTCGATACCAGCGCTGTCTGCCTCAGCCGAGGTGACGTCGCGCCTCTGATCTCTGCTTCGATGAGGTCAGCACTGCGTTTTGGAACGGAGAAGGGTTGTTCTGGGCTGTGCCAGGTCAAGTCCCAGATCTCGTTTCGATTGCCTGGTGTAAAATACTGCTGAAAAAGTGCAATAGCCATGAGAAGTGCGACTGCGTCTGGAGCAGTGGACAGGCATAGCCCCCCATCAAATTACAGAAGTGCATCTTGTGAAGCACAATCCCTCCGGCAGAAACTCGAGCACTTGACAAACAAAGCGAAGAACACTGCGGCGAGGCCTTGAACAGTGATCTCAGTGATCTCTGAGTGCCAGGCAGGATAATGGGGATGTTGGAGGTGTAGAAGAGCTTAATGGGGAAAGAGCCCTGGCAGACCCATCCTAAAAGAGCCCCAAAATTTGCTTGACAAACCTCAACTTCCATCTTTTGTAGTACGCATTAAGCCTTGAGCTTCAAAGCGTTTGCAAGTCACAAATCAGCTCCATCTGCCGTTACACGAACTGTTTCCTGTAGCTGCTTGCACCAACGGGTCTCGACCGCTTTACTCATCCCAAGGGTCCGCCATGGACTCTAACGTACCATCAGCTCTCAGCTCTGAAGCGCTCTCCTCAACGGCAACGGTGCAACCCTCTGTTCGGCCTGCGACCCCCGCATCTTCTGGTACTTCACTGGCAGGTCCACTTTGAAACCTTCGTGCTGAGACCCTCTTGCACACGATGCCATCGAAGGGTGTTGGAGTTCAGAGTCTAACGATTCAGGATGGCAAAACTGTACAGTTCTGCATCCAGCCCCGTGAAGGCTCTTTCTGGCCTTGGAAGTAGATCACGATGAAGAACACGAGCACCTTATAGCATCAAGCGGGGTAGCAAGTTCATCCCATAATCTCATGAATTCAGGAGTTTGGGACAATGTGTGTGTGAGATCCTGTGTAGTCGAGCCACAGTGGCAAAGAGGTTCGTCAAGTTCGGCGCCTCAGATCACGGATCTTCAGGTACTTTGACGGTACTTTCGAGTTTGACCCGGCGCAAGCTCCATGTTGCCGACGAAGCGACAGATTGCCTGTAGAACGCCTCTTTCAAGGCCATTAACTTGTCACTCCTGTGCAGGGGGGCTTGAAACTGCAGGCCCCAAATGCCCAGGATGAATTGAGTCCGCAGAGACCCTCGTGCGGAACTAACCCTTCTTCTTCTTACCCCTCGACTCCTTGACGCCATGAAGTGAAATGTTGCAACGATGGCACCTTCAAACTCGGTTCCTTGGCTGCCCAAGGGTCCAAGGGTCGACATGTTTCCTGGTTTCTCATGTGACCGACTTGAGCTAAGCAGAGCAGAGCGGACTTTGTGAAGTTTGGGAAGAGCGCCTACAGTAAGAAGCTGGAGCCAGGCCGTTACACCAACAAAACCCAACGTGATCCGACGTGCACCCAAGATTCCTTTGCCGGTGTTCATTGTCGTCGGGGAGAATGCCTTCAGGGAGCTCAGGCTGGCAACAGACGTTCACATCCACCCCAGTCCACCCCACTCCACAACTCATTCCAGCCCTCAGCAATCCTGCTCAACCAAAACGCCCAAAATACCAGATCACGCAGCCAACTCAACCCCAGAAATCAGAGAAATCCGGCCTTCCAGATGATGCCTTGGCTGAGGTGCGGACACTGGGCTCAGCCCTGGAAAATCTTTGTCAACAGAGCCTGCACACCCTGCAAAGATGACACTTTAAGCTCGAAAGACTAACATGAGTTGACATAGCATGCCGACAAGTGAACTCAATGGGAAATCCCTCGAGTCACTCCTCTCATTCGCCCGCGAGCGGCTCTCGCAAATGTTCGTTGCGATGAAAAGGGAGATCCCAGAGCCCATGCCATAGCCCTTCTGCATCAGCTCCTTTGCGCAACACATTGAGTTTCACTCCATTGAAACAGACTCAAAGACGCAGGTCAGGTCGCGGTAAAGGCTGCTGGGGTGCGTCCAAGAGGATGACGACCACTCCCGCGAAGAAGAGCTGCAGGATGATCAAGATGGCGCTGGTCGCTCCTCATTTGCTGGGCTCGGTCGCTGGGAGATACTGCAGGAGGCCTTTTGGGGGGGAGGGGGGAGGGGGGGCGTGGGGGGGAACTTCGATGGACTTAGGGAGCTTCAGATAGCTTCAGGGCTCAGTTCAAGGACGTTCCACTCTTGAAGTTTGTAGGAGTTCGGAATTCAAGTCACCCCATCCCACCCTAACCTAAGCGACTGTTGACCGGTCGACCTCGGCCATGGGCCATTAAGACATCACGAGCGGCCGATCTCTCGGAGGCTGCCGTACATTCCACTCATAACGTAGGCCACGGCCTCGGGTATCTTGGAAGTCAAGATCGCACCCTGGATGCGGGTTTTCCACGGCTGTTCACAAGGATACCAGACATCAACAAGCCTCGCCTCTCCCATGGTGATCAGCATGCCAAACCTGAGAAATGAATCTCGCATGTTCAGGATGCAGGCATGTGGTGATGCATCAAAATAAGGCCACATACATACCTGTGCTACATCTTGGTGACGACTTTCAGTGGAGAGACTTGTCAAGAAGGGGCGTTGTGTCGCAAACAGAACGGCTTTCCCTATGACCCTATGTCGCAAAAGGAAGTCCGGGTCCTGTTACATAATTACAGGGAAAACTAAGCCAGGCAACAGCTTCTGCGCTCCCTGGAAGAGGATTTTATCCTCCTTTAGAGTCAGGTCCACGTCAATGATCCTGTCGCCATCAGCGCTCAAGAAGGCTATGCAAGAACCCTGATCCAATTTTGCGACTCAAGACGGGATCATGAAGCAACCCTAAACCCTGAAACTTTGCGGCCAGCCCCAGCCGCACGCGGAGATTCACATTCCACGATACTGCCCTGGTATTCCCCCGATACGATAAGGCGTGACGCTGGTCTTTGTGGCAGGTCCTGCTGCCGGCTAAGAGCTGCATCACCTGAGCTCCAGTCCAAGCCGCAGCGATTCAAGTCACTCTCAACAGAGCACCGGCCCTGAAACTAGGTCCTGGTTCTCATGCTTGAAAACTAGTGCCAACTGCGAAAACTCCGACACAGCTTATCAAACGCACCCGAGCGGCGTGGCCTCGCTTGCGGTCCCACAGAAAGGCTAAAGGGGCCATTTAGGACTGTTCAGGGACTGTTCAGAGATCTCCGCTGCCAGGCGGCCATACCGGATGTGATGATGGGCGAGATTCCAAGCCTCGGGAATTGTGACAGGCTTAACGACGACACGCATCACTCCTGTGCGTGGTAAGCTTTGCGAGACCTCGCACGCCAAGCCCTTTCCAGCCCCAAGCCCAGCTGAGGACGAAACCCGACAGAAACTGGGGATGTATGCAGCTATATGCAGCCGGACCATGTCCTGACTCCTGGACCCTACAAGGCCGTGCTGGGAGTCCAGCTCCATGAGAGTGCCTCGATTCGAGGCCTCGGTCACAAGAGCGCTCTGCCAGCGGCCCCTGACTGCTCCACTACCTAGAAAATACTGAGAAAAAACACCCCCCCCCACAACTCCAACGAAAGTGAGGGAAGTGTGCTTCCATGCCCCAGGGGCCAGGATGACCCTCATCCAGTAGAATGGATCTGAGCCTCCAGTGCTTCGCAGAGGGCCAAAAAGGCTTTCCCAGTCTCGACTGCCAGAACTCTCAAAAAAGCTTTGCAGCAAGTAAAAGCCAGGTCACTCTTGGAAGTGAGCACACCATAAAGTGGGATCCTTGAACCGCAACTGCACAGCAAAAGGCACAGGAACAGAGGGAGTCCAAATGGCTTCGCTGCTACTTACGGTCTTAAAGAGGGCCAAGTCATACCTGGCCGGGAGTGACAACTGGTATGTTGGAGGAAGTAATGCTAGTGCGGCCCAGGCTCTGACAGCAAACTAGGAAGACAAAGAGGGAGATGGAAGTCCACCTCAGTCCAAGCTCATTGAACAAGTCTCTCCTTTCGAGTTGCTTCTCACCCGTTTCCACCTCCTGGGCCAAGGCGTCAAGGGATCCGCTACAATGTTGGCACCCTTCAAGGCTCCGGCAAAATCTTTTCTTTGAAGGGAATTCTGCCTCAGTTCAGACATGAAGATGTTGAAGCAGCTTATTTCCCTGGCCACCCGTTTGGCACACCCCGGTTCTGGAAGGCAGAAAGGAAGGAACATGAAGGCTGATGTCTGAAAGTTTCTGCCAAGCTACGGTCAGGGGCCTCCACCTCTGGGAGGACGCACATCACCGGCCTTTCAAAGCGAAAGAGTGCTGCTGACTAGTCTGCTTGGTGTTCGGATCTTCGCGGTGACAGTCATTTTGCGCCAGGTTGCTTGATGAGGTTGAGGAATCGAAAGCTGCCGCCTGAGGTGTCATGCGTTGCGGAATGCCGGTCTACCCGCTGGCTCCAGCGCATGCAACTCCGACTGAGGCTGTGCACTCTGCATCGACATCTTGCCTGCAGGCGCAGACGCCCCCATTAATATGTTGTTTGGGGCGTACATAATTCTCTTCTTTCTTCGTTCATATCATTCGTTCATTGCACACGTCGTTATCTCCTTGTCAATTCACTTCATTGTATTCTCTTCTCACGGTAAGCCTACTAAAAGAGGTTATTTAGTACGCCAACGGTTAATCTTGGTCTGTACGCTCTTTCACTTGTCCATCAATCACTTGGGGCTTTGGGGTACTAAAAGGGCATATAATTTACTATTGAAAGGTAAAGAGCGAAGTGATGCACGCTTTTAATATTTAATTTGCCCTTTTCCCCCCCTTTATAAAAGTGCAAGAACAAAGAAGGGACAGCCGGTCTCGTTGAGCCTTCCCGAACTAGGCGCAAGGGCCCAAGAGTCAAAAGAGCCCTGTTGCTTGTTCCTGTATGATTTTGCTTGAAGCAAGGAACCCGTTCGCAGAACCCTTCCACGGTCCTTGCGCGAGTACTGGTCGCCTCCACGAGCTCATTTCGTTGCGTGAAGTTTCGGGAACTTGCTTCCGCGAGTCGGGGAACGTGAACGCTGCTTCAGCTTGCACACGGGCTTCCGCGCCGAGATACCCACAAAGGGGCTTTCGAGCCGAGATGGGGGTTGGGGAATCCTGGTTCCGGAACGCCCAGCATTCGTAGTATGTATAGCTGCTATAGCAGGTCATACACAACGCATCTTTCCGCCCGCCGGAGGAGATGTGCTTCCGCAAGCCCTTCCACATGCTTCCACGGCCACAGTCCTGTGCAGTTTCGCGCGCCCGTTCCCGTGCTTACTTCGGTTCTCACCGTGAAAACAGTGAAAATGATGCCGCTCACGGGTTCATATGGACTCTATCAGGCTCTGTCAGGCTCTGTCAGGCTCTGTCAGGCTACGCAAAAAAGTCAAAGCGTTTGAGGTTTGTTCACGGCCATGGCATGGGCGCCTCTTTGTCACTCCTCCGGGAGGCGAGTTTCCAATTTCTGCGGCGGCGCGCCGCTTCTGCCCAAAACTGGCTGTGAGCCAGAACGGCAAGCGAACCAAGAGGAGCAGGCACGACTTTGGGCTGCGTTAGACAGTTAGACAGTTAAGCCAATGCTCATGCCAAGATCTTCCAAGACGTAGAGGAGATGCGTAGAGCATCGTGGAACCATCCAACGGGGAACATGTACTGCGCAGTACAAAGCAACAGGCAGCAAGTTCCATGCCCACGGCCCTGTGGACCTTGTGGCTGCGAAGCTTGCTGCCTTAATGGTTCATGCCAGCCGGGGGCCCCGCCCGCGAGGAGATTTGGAATGTGAAACCTTCGCAAGGCTGACGATCCGACACCATCCGTTGTACTTAGGTCGCTTTGTCCTTTGGGGGCTTTGGAGGTGGTTTAGTAGGTGATCCATGACTTTGCATGTGCAAAGGCCGGGACCACCCCTTCCATGCTAAGCGTGCCACATGCAAAGCTGCGGGGCCATTAACAAACGAGGCCCTCAAGGCCCGGACGCTTCCATGGCTTTGCGGTAAGACTGACGCACCTCCCGGCAGGCGAACTGATGAAGCTATGCCGAAGAGATGAACAAAAAATGCACATTCATAAACAAACACTACACAAGACTGCGTATTGCCTGCCACCTGCACTTCCTGGGGCCGGATGTGGGGATGCAAACAGATCAGCTCCAGGCCTTCTTCAGGGTATCCTTCCAGAACCTCAGGAACCAGATGAACCAGTAAGAAGGCATTTTAGGGGAGAAGGGAGAAATCGCATATTCAAGAAGGGCCCTCTCGTTTAACGTGAATGTGGAGATGTGAAACTTCCCCAAGTTCAGCTATCGGGGAGACCCCTTCTGAACTTTGCAAAACCTTTTTTTTCTTGCCAAGGGCCCGGCTTGTCGACGCCTTTGAACTTTGCGGACTCGGTGGGGAGCTGTTTCTGAATGTCCTCTCGTTGAGGGAAGGCCACACCGACAAGAACCAACACCGAGAACAGACCACAACCACGTGCTCAAAACCACATGAACCAGTCAACCACAACTGAGTAGGTCCTCCGCTGAGAAGATGCTCTCCTCGGAGCACAGCCACAAGAAACTTAACCAACCTGAACACCTCATCCTACCCCAAATCTTCGAGGCATCTCTAAATCTCGCGTGAAGCTACAAGGACTGGCAACCAGCCGCTGGACCCGCGAAGAACTCACATGACGGGAGTCCAGGTACATCCAGCCGCGCTGCACCTGCAAGGCTCTCTGGGAACGACAGTGGGAAGATCCCTGGAAAGTTACTTCATGGCTGGCCTGTAGCCACTCATCGATCGTGTCAGAGGCAAGCCTGTCCGACAAGCCACTGACACATCCGAACAGGTTCTTCCAAGAAGGTCAGTTCGACATCTAAACCGATATCTTCCGATGCCTGATCTTGGTCTCCCAGGTCTCCACGCGGTCGCGGATGCCCCGTACGAAGCGGGACCTGGCAAATGAGGCGAAGCGCCGGGGGGGGGGGGAGGGGCGGGGAGCCCAGAGGCATCCCTGTTTCTGCACCAAGCTTGTAGGGCATTCTAGCAGAGGTAAGGGCGATCTGGAAAAAGAGTTGAAGGAGTTTAGTGGGGTTGGATTCAGGCTCTGAGCCGCAAACCCCATCATGGTCTGGATCTGCACAGAGTGGTCCTCCGTTGAAGTTGAGCTCATGCCCGTTGGAATTAGGGAAAAGCTGCCAAGGGAGCAGCATGTGGCCCATGGCCTTTCAAATCGCACGTTATTTGGGATCGGGGTCCGGGACGGCGAGCATGCGTGTTCGTCATCACGCCATCTCTGGCAAACCCAACACCGACACTTCTTCACCTCATAAAGCGGGGCATCCTCCAGCTGAGTGATGATGTCGGCCACATCACCAAGGATCCAAAGGTCCTTGAACGAAGTTTGACACCGAACGGTTATTTCTTCCTGGCTTGGGTTCCGGATCTGGACCAAAGCTAAGGGTTACGAATGCTTTGGGGTAGGGGAGATTACTCTCGGACGCAAGAGCTAAACACAAGTCATGGATCTCGAAGGGATCGGAAAATCCCGCCGCTAGCCTCGAACACCCTCCCTATACTTCGTACGTGGGTCCCGCTGGTTCCGGTGGTTCTGGACCGGCAGTGGCATGTCTTCCCAAGCGGCGATGACCTCGTTGGCTTCACAGGCGGCAGAGAAGAACCAAGCCAAGAGTCCGAAGCTCCATATCACACCAGGACTCTGCTTGAAATCAAAATCTTCACATGTTCAACTTTGACAATGCGTACAAAATACCGGCAGGGAGGTTTTCAGTCGAGTCTCTGTCTCTGTCTGCCTCTGCATGTTTGTCAGTATGTCGGTTTCTGTCCCTCTCTGACGGTCGATGTCTGTGTCTGCTGGTCTCTCAGCCGGTCCGTCTCGTGCTATCTCTTCCTGCTGTTCCTTTCCCCGCTGGGGTGGTCGCCTACCAACATCCTCAAGAGGCGAGCGGTTAAAGGTCACATCGCGGTAAGGCTCTTTTTTTACCCCCCCCCCCATGCCCCTATACCCCGGAAACCGTACACCCTAAAACCCTAAAACTCTAAGCCCTAAAGCCCTGAACCCTGAAACCCTAAACTGAAAAAAAACAGAACCCTAGAACCGTAAAACCCCAAACCCGAAGCCCTCACCCTAAAACCGAAAACCTTGAACCCTGAACCCCTAAACCCGCAAAACCCTAACTAAACCCTAAGGCCAACTAAACCGTAAAACCAACCCACAACCACACCACAGGGGGGGAGGGGGCCCAGGGGCCCGTCGCGGCACAACCATACACGTGTCTCTCTCTCTCTCTCTCTCTCTCTCTCTCTCTCTCTCTCTCCACACGCTTAGCCCCCCCCGAAGGGAGAGCTGCCCCGGAGGGCGCGCCAGTCCCAAGTGTCATGCGGTTTCAGGCCGCGGTTTTCGCGGCCGGGCCAGGGTGGGGTTTCTGTCTGAGACTGGGGTGTATCCGGGTTGAACATGGGCTAGCGGAGGCAATCGGGTTCAGTCTCCCCTCTGTGCACCTGGCAAAGAAAATGCTCATCTGCCCCTCTTTGGGGTGTGAGTTTTGGAACCTAGTCGCTGCTGGCCCCTTCATGTGTACGCCTTCGCCTCGAGTCCACGTCCGCCCCTTCTGGTAATCGGTGCCGTTGTCGATGTAGCCCCCACCCCTGTCTTTTTCCCGTAGATGGCTTCCACTTATGGTGGTCTCCGAATTGAAGTCCTGCATCGCAGATCACCTCTTGGAGCAGGAGGACGCGCACGTCCCTAAGGGAGGTGGTCTCCACGAGTATTTTGCAGAGGTCCAAAACTGCTGGGAGTCTAAGCCCCCCCACATTCCAAGTTGCCAGTCGGTACGTTCTCCCCGGCTTGCGGTCTCTGCGGTGAAACTGTGCCCCCCTTTTCTGTCAGAGGCTCTGTTTGATGCGCTCCCAGGTGGCTTTCACCTCCTCCACGCTTTGCTTGAGGATTCTGGCTACAGCAACAACGTCCACCCACCCTGCCCCCGCCGTCAAGCTGTCCGGGGGTGCGGCCGCGGTGGCCGATGCGATTCTGGTACCCTAGAACCAGACTGTTCCTGTGTTGAACTCGGCCTCGACCTTGGAGATGTCCCCCCCTTGCTCGAGCGCCAACCTCTTTGCCTTGCCCGCCAGCTTTGCCTTTGCTCGGCGTTGGGGGCTTTGTGAGAGAGCAAGCCAAAGGCGCTGCCCCGCGCCGTCCGGCTTCTTCCCCAGAACGATGTTGGCGTTCCTGACCTTTTGGAGGGCATTCTATGGACGCGCTGCCTCTGTTCCCCCTCCGTCTCGTCCTGCTTGTACTTGAGCGGTATGATGGCGTACCCCCTGCGAATCCCAGGGACAAACGCCCCCTCCATATCAATGTCCAGCCGGAGTTGCGCGGCAGTGGAGTGTGCATGGTGGAGAGTCTCCGCGGCTGGGGTGTTTTCATCCCACCCCCCTATGATGAGCGCTGGTTGTCTGCGGTCTTCCTCCGAGGAGGAGGACTCCCCCCTGGATGCCAAGGTGCCGGTGTTGAGCTGCCCGAACTTGCCTTCCAGAAGAGTCAGGCGTTCCCGCAGGGTGCGTTGTTCTTCTGCCATGGCATCCATGTTGGCTTGCTGCCGTTGCTGCACCTGATCCACTCGATGCAGGGTCTGTGCTTGTGCGGTGTGCAAGGACTGGAGCTCATGGAGGATTTGGTTGATATCCCCCAACTGCTCCCTGACTTCTGCTCGCACCTCCCCCAGCAGCTCCAGTTTCAACTCTCGTCTTTCCGACCTTAGCTCCTCCTTGATGGCCACACGGATGGACTCGAGCGTGAGCCCCTCCTTTTCCATTTTCCGTTTGGAGGCCGTTCCTCCCCCCGGGCTGCCATCCGGCCCCCCTCCACTTTGAAGTAGGGTGGACATCTTATTCACAGTCTCCCTGCCAAGTCACGAACTTGACGTTGAAATACTCCCTGGCGAGCGAGGGGTAATGGATAATCCGGTACGCCCCCTCGAGCTCGTGTAGGCCGCCGATATCGTTCAAGTAGCGGTTGTCAAGCTCCCCCTCACGCCTCAGGTAGAGGAGCAGCACGGCCAGCGGCGGTCCCCGTACTGGACTGAACCCTACCTCAACGATGTACAGGGCCCCCAGCTGGAAGTCGCGTAGCGGTTCAAAGATGTAGTTGTTGTCGCAGGGGCGGCAATGGCAAGGGGGGGGCAGGCTCCCCTATCCCTCCACAGTCTAGTCCAGCCGGACGCCCCCCCGTTAGGCTCTCTAGGGCTCTCACACGACTCTCTCGCCCCCTCTTTGGTTGAAGCCCGCAGGACGGCGGGGTGGGGCTTGAGCACTCGTGGCTTGAGCCAAAATGGCTACGCGTGTCTCTCTTTCTCTCTTTCGTGGGGGTAAGGCGGGCTCGCTGCCGGGCAGGATTCGCTCGCCCTTGTTTCGCGGTCTAAGTTTCGTGGGGCCTTCGCCCGCCCGCCCCTGCACTCGGCCCTTTGCAGAACACACATCCGAGATCATATCTCTTCTTCTGCATGGCTTGGGAGTCTCGAGGGCTTCAAAGACGTTGAGATTTACAAAAAGAGGAGAGACTTACTCTGCAGAATGCGTGTGTCCTTCAAGATTCTTTTTGACTGCAGAGCGGCCGCGTTACAGAATATGATCTGCGCGTCTCAAAAAGCTACCCACAGAGCAAGCTGCTGGGGGGGGGCCGGTTCGGATGTGGCACCTGCAAGAGCTGGGGCTGGAAGACGCTGCGTGCTCCATCCAAGGGCGACATTCCCCGTCCGAACGAACAAGTAGGTGCCCCCTGCTTTCCACATCCAAAACCGCATGACCCTCGCTCATGGGCCACAGCTCGGAGCATCTCGGAGTTCGGGTGGAGCGTGGCTCGGGAGCTGGTTTAGATGGGGAACGCGGCTGGGGAGTTCGGATGGAAGGAATGACTCTCAGATCGGAGCCGCGTTCCCTTCCAAACCAGCGGGCCCCCAGCTCTGAACCCAAGGCGCGTTCCTCTTTGAGCGACCGCCTGCGTTAGTGAGGCATTTACATCCCGTGCGTGGCTTGCGAGGATGATGCTGGTACCCCTGGCCTGTGTCTCCCTCTCTTCTTCTTCTACGGGGCATGAGGGGCCCAGGGGACCCCCCGCGCGCACGGCCCCACTCCCAGCGCTCTCTCTCTCTCCCTCTCTGTCGGTCTCGCTGTCAGTCTGTCTGTCGGTCTGACTGCGTGCCTTTAACAAGAAGGAGACATGCACGACAATTTGCAGACTATACACGACTCCTGAACCCCCGCCTTCTCGAGCTGCTGCTCCAGGGCAAACTCCCCACTGGCAATGCCACTGATCTCAGCTATGAACTCCTTCATTCACACTTTAAAATGTGGGGACTCAGACGCGCAAAGCCCGGGGAAGCCCAGAGTTGTCCTTCTTGTCGAAGACCTTGGCCCCGATCAGGGTCGTGAGGGAGACGGAAGTCTGCTTGAGGTCGATCTCCTGTAGTGCGCAGCAGGGCCCTGAAAAAGCGATATGAGATTGCTTACAAGCAAGCATGTTTGCTAACCTCTGCACGCTTTGCCACTTCATGTTCCAGGCTGCACGTCCGCGGTATGTGGCGATCCCATTCCGCACATGCGAGTCACTAGAGTCCTGTCGGATGCGCGTTCTGTGCCGATCCCTGGCCAAGGGGGCTCAGAAAACTTGACCGTTTGACAACTTGACAGCACAGTGCCCCACATGATGCTCCAGATCTACACTCACCTGCGAATAGATATTCTCGACGCCTTCGGCACAAAAAGGGGGGGGCGGGGGGGGGGAGACCCATTTCTTCCAAGCCAATGTGCCACTCTGGCAAGATGAAATCGAGAACGGGAGAAAAGCCCGGGGCGCACAGCGACATCGAAGGACTGCCGTGAACGGGCCACGTGCACCGAAACTCTCGGCCTCAAGGCTGGATTCCCCAGGTCCATGATGCAAGGCATGTTGCCCTTCCACTCGTCAATCTCCGACCTCAAGACTCCACCGTGGCACAGCTTCAAACAAAGCTCTTCTCTCGCGCAAGAGCCTCTCATGCCCCGTTCTTTCCCCCTGGTGTGCATCCCACGTGAGACAAAACATGCGCGCTTGGGAGTTCTGTGCTTATAGCCGACTCGGAGCAGGTCCCTTGCGGGGCCACGAGGGGCCACTGGGGTGCCGGCCGGATGTCCTGGGCCACTTTGTCACCCTCCAGGCTGCGCCTTCGTTCGGCGCAAGCAACCACGATTAAAAGAAAGCTGGTAGCTTCGACTTGGGATGTTCACCCTTGTACTAACAGTCCTTAACAGGAATCACAGTACCCCCTATTAGAATCCCTATTCAGGACTGTTAGTTTAAGGGTGAACATCCCAAGCTACGACCTACAAGCGTGCACAACAGCCGTGGGTGAATATTGGTGAGAGATCCGAACATCACATGCCAGCATCAACACAAGTCCTCTTCGGAAACGAAACCCTCCTCTTCCAATGGTGGCCTTCAGCAAAAGAGTGAATATCCCCAATCAAGGTCCAAGCGTGAGCTGGTATGCAGTCTTGGAATACTCCAGGACCTGCATCGCTCTTCTGGAGCACATTGGGGACTCTTCGGGGTTCCACACTTGGCTCTGTAAAAGCAAAATCCCATGATCTTCCGAATTCCACTTTGGCGGAAAAAGAAAACTGACTCAAGCCCGACACAAACATGTGCGATGTGTGACGCATGGAGACTCTGTCACATCGCCTGCGTGCTGCACACTGAGCGCCAGCATCTGCGTCATGAACGCACGCTTCCAAAGCACTAGAAGACTTAATAAGACTTGGCTTCGTGCTCCGTGCCGCGTTCCTTCTCTCACAGGGTGCAGAAGGCCCTATCATGCGCGAACAAAAAGGTTTTTGACAAGCTTGGTCACTTGAACTGCAGGTCCGGAGATGGAGCCATTTTAAGTTTGGAGCCTCCGTCTGCCATGCTTCCATAGGTGTTGAGAGGCTGGAATGGGGGATGGGGGGGCGGGCTCTTGGAGCTTCCGGAGGGGGGTCGGGGTACACTGGGTACACTTCCGACCTTAAGTCGTTTGGAGGACATATTCCTAAGTGCAATGCACCTAAGTGTGGTGAACAAGCTTTGGTTCCTTTTGGTTCTCTTTCAGCCTTCTCTTGCGTCTTCTTTCGGGAACAGTAACCGATCATTCTTGATCACTCTTTGTTTGCCGTTTCGGGGCCTCAGCGGAAAGAGCAGCCCCCAGAGTGACGTTGGAAGCGCCGGAAAAGACTTGCGATTTGCCGCTGCGTGGCATGGACCATTTGCTACTAAAATCGTGAGGGGGAGGGGGGGGCGGGGGCCTGTAAAGGTTCCGAAACGCCGCAGTCCTTCTCTGTAGCATTCTGTAGCTCAAGCTGCCCTTGACAGGAGGTGGAGATTTCGCGTTAAGCTCGGCACCGCCACCTCTGGGTCCAGGCGCGCTGCTTCCAAGAACGACTTTCATTGTCTTCGATGACTGCGACGGTTAAGTGTGTCATGCGTTACGCGCAGAGATTCCTCAACTTGGAGGTGTGCAACTTGTGACCTTCCCACAATGCATTGAGACTACTCTGAGCACGAAGGGCGTCAAGCCTTCTTGTTCATCTCCTCCACGTTCAGCTGGGTGATGTCGGTCTTCTTCCAAACATCCAGCTGGACCTGCCAGAGCGGGGATTGATGATGCAATGCACCTCAAGGCCAGAAATCGCCAGAGTCGAGGTTCAATTTCAGTCGAAGTTTATGCTGTATTCGCGGCATGCGTGGAGCAAGCTTCACCAACTCTTGGGGGGTGTTCTTGTGTTCTTGGATTGTCGAGAGGGTGGGGCGTCTATAGTGCCCCAGGTCCCAACCGCTTCCGCTAGCACCAGCAATAACCAGCAATAACCAGCCTTCCAGTCACTGATGAGGTTCCACAGGCGAGACTTCTCGGTAAAGAGCTGCTTGGCCTCCATCTGCCCTAGCTTGTCCAAAGCCCATTCTTGTCGGCACAGTTTGGTCTACGTTTGCCCATAGACTCTACGAGCCGAACCCTTAAATGGCTGTTGACCCTCTGTTACTTCAGGGACACTTCTGAAAGGAGCCCTTCAAGCCAAGGCAGGGTTCTGGTATGTTCAGAGCAACTACGAAGTCCAAATCACCTCTCGAAAGCGGGGCCTTGTCTACCTCCTGGAACTCAAACTGCACCGGCACGTAGAAGAGCGCCTCCGGCTCTGTGGCAGGGCTGTAGGACACTGTAGGACACTGTAGGACACTGTAGGACCCTGTAGACACGCCGAAAACCCGGGCTGACGACAACCAATGCAGGAGATTGCTAGCTGCTAAAAGTGTAAACCGAATTGCCACACAGCTCCTACAACACGCAAGCAGCAAGCTGTGCCACCAACCGATGCCACCTGGTAATCGTTGTAGTTTGCAGCCTTCTCTTCAAGCTTGGTCACAGCGACCTTCGCAGTGGCCGAAGCGGCTGCAGCACACAAAGGGACGGAGGCAAACCATAGGCAAACCCAAAGCAGTGCAAGCAGCCCCCCCACCCCCCCCCACCTGAATAGTGGTTAGCTCCTCCAATACCACTTCAGGGCTGTGGATGTTGTCCTGCGCAGTTGCCAGACGGAGGGCAGTCTGCACACAGACACAAACACACACACGCACACAAGACAAAGAGAAGCACCTGCATCCGCCGAATGCAATACAGCCTTAATTAGCACAACCTCCAGCAGATGTCAGTTTCGAGCCCTGGAGGACTTTGCTATATTGCTGTGTGATCCGATGCGTACAATTGTACTCAACTTCAGATCCCCAGCTGCAGCACCGCAAGCGCGGAGTAGGGCAGCGAAGCCTCAATCAACCTGGGATCACAAACCCTTTGACAAAAGCCTCGGCACTTAACAGTGGAAGTTCCCTTCAGATTAAGTCGAGGTGTGGGTTCTTCTCCCACATGTCCTGCGACACGAAGCTGCCAGACCGCAACCTTGGACCAGCAGCATCTCAGGACTACAAGGAAAACATCCGAAAAACCTCGCCAAAACCTGCATGAGAATGCTCCGTTGTGTCACGATGCATCGCAAAACATGCTATAAGAAAACTCTCGCGGATTTCATCATTCTCTCGGTCGCGATTCCCACCACGGAGGACACATCAGGTGTCTGAGCACCGTGTTACATCGTGTAGACTACAACTCACTCGACGACGCGGGAGCAGATGCGTGACATGGACAGTCGAAATGTCGTAAGGGTACTTCTCTCTCTCTCTCTCTCTCTTGGTCCATTGTCCCTGGCCCTTTATGCTCCCCGCTGCTCAGTGAGCTTCTTCGCTTCCTCCTCTGCAAGCTGTGAAACCTCAGAATTTGGCTTCCGACGGCGGATTGCGGATCGAAACATAGCTGCGAACTTCGGATGGCTGCAAGATAGCTCAGGAAACTCTCTGTTTATGAGGGTGGTTGGAAAATATGGGCCTTCTTTGGTGTCTTAACTAGACTGTAGAGAGGGCACTCTATTTGAGACCACAACAACCAACAAAGCGCGCATAGCTTAGATCGAACTCCCATGACCCAGCAGACGAAAAGATGCGGCCGGGGCACGCCGTTCAGGCTTTCAACCATTTCGTCCGCTTTCTCCCGAATAAAAGCGTTGCCCTCGCTGCTTCACACTCACTCTTGTTACCATCCCTGATCCCCTCGGCATCGATTGTGCAAGGCTTGTGGGCTTTGCCGAGCTGTCACGGCTTTCCAGGCATGCAAGTCGATCCTCATGAACTCTGCCCCACGCTCCCGCAGCCTCGATAAGTTTGCGGTCAGCGAAATCCGACCCCTTTGTCTGCAGGAACTCCATCTGCACCGTGTCCTCAGCTCAGGATCTTCAAAAACTTCCTACTGACCGCCTGCGACTTCAATTGGCCATCTGGGGGCTACATTTGCCAAAAAAACAGCTGCTATGATGCTTCATTCAACCTGTCTAGAAAGAAAACACACTCAACATTCGATCTGCAGACTCCTAAACCCGGCCCTGATATCTGTAGTCCACACCAAAACTTGCAAAACGACCGGATGGAGCCCCAGAGAGATGCTGAATTTAGGGCTTTGGGGTTCGTCTTCAAGGACGTGCGTGAAATTGGCACAACATCCTACTTCGACACTCCAAGAACATCCAAGAACTATATATGCGGAGCTGCACCTTGCCGGACAAGCTCCGGTGCTGTTTTTGGAATTGGGCGCAACTTGAGTTTCTGTATAAGATGGTCGATGCCAGCGGGCTTGCTATGTACAATGACAGCTTCTCCATGAAGCCCTTTGACAAATTGTCTGGATCACCCCGCTTGCCCATGTGCAAGTGCCACTCATCAGACTTATCACACTCGGCGCCATTGTTTGAACTCCGGACAGACTCACGCCCACCCGTCGCACTGACAGCGCCTTCTGGCACTGCATGCACTCAGCATGCTGGAGCTGCGCATCCCACCCACTACCTTTTCAATTGTCAATGCCACTACTCCCACGGAAGCTGGACCCGTTAGAAGTACACGGGGAGCTTTCCGGCCAACCCAAATCCCTTTCGTTCATTGGGGTTTTCCCATGGTGCTGGTGCCTTCTAGCCCCATCTTCGATTAGCTTTACCTGCATTCATTGGTCTTCATTGGGGCTTTACCTTTCTCAGTGGCAGCTGCGTTCGCATCGGCTTGAGGATGGTTTCGCAAAAACCCGTTGTCGTCTTCATTCACCGGGGTTTTGCGATGGTTTTGGTGAACTCTTGGACTTGTGCTGGATCTGATTCCCTGCTCTGGCCGGCTTCCAACTGTGGCATTGCAAGGGGACGGAAGGAGACTTCGGGTTGTGCTTGTTTGGGCTTGAGCTCAAGGGCCCGATCGGGCACGTTGTGTACAGCAGGACATTTCAAGGGTGTGTGTTTTGGGACGCCGGGGGGGGGGGGCTAGATGGCCTCTACATCAAGTCTACGTTCACCTGGGAGAAAGCCTGGAACCCACCAAACCACCTGGGGCCCAGGTGCGTCACCGCTCACGCGCACGTTGTACTGCCGGAGGAGTTGGTACATGGACTCCACCTGCAAATGGGGGTTTACGAAGCGGGAGCACGGATTGTGGGACTTGAGCTGTGGGGTTGCGTGAAGTCTCAAGAACGTGCTTCCCAGAAAAATTCAGAAACTCATAGAAACTCCTCGAGCCTGTGCTCGAGTCTGAGGCAACACTTGCATCAGAAAGAAGTGAAAGAAGGCCAAGAAAACAGAATAAACAAAGGCAACATCTTTGTGCTTCGCTCCAAAATTTTCCGGGCGGGGAAGCAGCGGTCAAGTCCGAGTCGCCCCAGGATTCGCGAGAGAGCAAGAAAAAGAGACTGAGAGAGAGAGAGCGAGTCTTGCGCATGGCGCGCCTCCTCCCGCATCTCCTCCATCTGAGCCTCCTGGTTCTTGATGTCGTTGAAGGCCTATGCTAGGACCACCTTCCATTTCCTGGGCTCTCCCTAGACCTGCTTTCGACCTTGTCGCTCCCTGCACAGGCACCCACATGGTCAGATCTCCAAACTATTTTTAATTTAGTTAGGACATACCTTGCCTATGGCACCGCACATATACCCACACACACATAAACACACACACACACACACACACACACACACACACAAAACCCCATGTTTCACTCAAAATTTTTCCCAACCACTTTCTCCGACAGCACACCACTTCAGCCCCTGCACCCGGGAGACAAATTTCCACATTTTCCAACTTTTCTGACTGTGACTGTGACTGTGACTGTGACGACGACGGTGACAGTCTTCTGGTGTTACTTGTGTTTGTCCCCATCCGGCATTGCAAATTTCAACGCTTCCTGATTGCAAACTGCTATATGGTTTGAAAATGCCGTCGGGATTGACTCAGTTAAACCAGATTCAGTATTGCATCTCTCTTCTACTATAGTTGTCACTTAGTCATTCTCCTTGATTGTTTTGTCTTCTTATGATAAAGCTGTCTCTTGCAATGGCAAGGTATACAATGTAAGCCTTTTTTATCAACATGAAAACTTGTATTGCACAGAGCGTCAACCCTCGTCGAACTTGGATGTCCTGAAAAATGCCGGATCAAATCGCGCCAAGAATTATCTCACTTAGTGAACGCCTTCAGGCTCAGATGCTCCGGTTCCGCCGTACCACGTGCTTTGTTGCTTGATTCCATGCCATGCATTGCATGTCCTACGCAGTATGTTGTTCTTTTTTGCTCCCAAAACGCCCCCAAAACTGGACAAGATGTGAAGGCTGAGACATAAAGCGAGACAACGAAAGAACAAAAAGGAAACACACAATACGAGAGAGAAGGGAGACAGAGCTAGATGCTTGATGCCTGTCTCTGTTTTGCGTCGCTGTGCTGCTGTGCCCGCCGCTTTAAGCTCCTGGGCTCAAGGTTCCTTGTAGCTCAGACATGGAGAGGTAGAGGGGAGGGAAATTTGTCGACAATCGGGCCGTGGTTTCGTTTTCGAGTTTTCAGCTCACGAACCGCGCACGTGGGGAAGGCCCAAGTCAAGATCACATATGACGGGGGAAGTCACAGCGACGGGGAAACAATGAATACACTTGTACAGCTGCACGTTGATAGAGACAGGGATCAAGGTAGAGGGAGAGAGTTGCGTGCTCTGTGTTAAGAGCCGACGATATTGCACGTCTTCCGTTGCTGCGCTGTGCTGGATGGTAGAGAGGAACCAACACATACATGGAGAAGTAGAGGGGAGGGAGACTGTCGACTATCGGATATGGCGCACAATACTCTCAGATTTGTGCAGCAATGTCCATTCAGGAGCCTGTATACACCTTGCAAGAGCTCACATAAGTTGTGCTTGCGTATTGGCGTCGCAATACGTATCGAAAAAGTACTGTTTTATTTTAAGACATTCCAACTGATTATGAGCTAACACCAACAGCAAAATATGTTGAAAGCATTTTCCAAGACAATCTGCATTCAGTGAAACTCATCTCTGATTGTTTATCAAGGCAAATATGTCCCCGATGAATTTGTCCTGGGCATAACAGTATATGCTAATGCGAAAACCATCATAATGAGGACTCAGCACATGTACTGTTCTGCGAAGGAAATACATAAATTCACTAATGGAACTAACTCACTGTTCTGGAAATTTCTTGTTGGTATTTGCGTCGATACTTGTTTATTGCTGTTAATTACACCTTCTAAGCTGTCAATCGTTACCGCCAAAGGATGAAAAAAGTAGTTCCATCTCTTCTTATCATAGCTACCTGCTGCGTTATCTGCGTTGCTGAAGTTGCTAACGCGGTGAAGAACATCTGAGACAAACGAGTATAAGATTTAACGATGTTCATGTTGATCTCTGTAATTCCGGCTGTGAAGGTCTTGTGAAATCAGTGATACGAGTATGCCGGATAAACCACAAGCACCCGACCACCTTCTAATAAACAATAAATATGAACCTATGTTGCTGCCAACTGTTCTGCCAACTTGGATCACTTCGCATCATAAATTTGCATTCTGTTGCAGCATGTGACATCAATGTTACAAACAAACAGTTACTTAATTCTTGAACTGTTGGCTTTCCGATGGTTTACCAATTGTAGGTGGTTGTTTTGTATGTATGGGTTTATTGAACATCATATTAAGAGTACTGACTGGGCTGTTACATGTTCTGGCTCGCAGATTCCTATTGGGA